ACTCCAAATGCTCTTTGAGTTTTTTGCAATGTGAAAGTTTCTAAATGCAGTTAGGTGCTTAGAAAATGCAGTTTCGGTAAGAAATTTTTAATAGATAATAATTTTTTTTCACCAAAGGAAGAGGGACAGCAAGTAGCTAAGTCAGACTCTGAAATGCCACTAGTTGTAGTCATATACGTATTGGAGAACATGGTTTGCAGGTAGGAAAACCTAAGTTTCAATTTCCAAAACATTTAAAATAGACTGGCAATGCCTCTGCTGTTCATCATTCTGCTGTCCATCGATGTAACTATCTGACCGATGGATGGACTTTGTGTAAAGCATTTTCAAAAATTCCTGTGGCTTGTTCCGAGGCAGCTTATATGGAATTCAGTAACAGCATTCTCACTTCTTAGATCCAATATGCCTAAAGGAAGTTTCACTTATATGGAACTGATTTTTAAGATGCCACTCATCCTTTCCCCAAGGGCAAGTAACAACATTTTTTTAAATCTCATTTGTCATTTTAATATTTTTCTTTTAAGGGAAACATTGTTGCTTCCTCATATATCAGAATGGAATGCAGAAAATCACAAAGCCACTCTAGAAATCTCTATGTCTTAGTGTGAAATCCTGGTCTTCCTGATCAGAGTCCAATGAACTTTGTGTGACACAAGAAGATGGACTAAAGTTGGCAGAGTGCAGTGATTTTGACTGTATTCTGTGTTGCTTTTCTCTCCCCCTCCCTCCCTCCCTCTTTCCTTTAAAGCATTGGGAGATAAAGAAATAACCATTGTTTCCCCTTGATGGTTGTTGTTTTACACTGGGGTTGCATACTTCCTTTTTCTCAACACTTTTGGAAATTGCTTGAGTTTCCTTCAATCCTTAGAGAAAGAGGTCTTAAACTTTTAAAACTTTAAAATTAAATAAATAAATAAATAAATAAATAAATAAATGTTTAAGGACTTAAGAAACAATCTTGTTTTGGAATAAAAAAGGGTGATTTTGGAAAGTTACAAATGGGCTAAGGCAGTGATGGCAAACCTTTTAGAGACCGAGTGCCCAAACTGCAACCCAAAACCCACTTATGTATCGACAGGTGCTGGATGGGTGTGGCCCACTCGGCGGGTGCAGTTACAGTGGGCTTGGCAGACTGGGTGGGCGTGGCCACTGGATGGATATGGCTGCAGTAATCATGGCAGATTGGATGGGCATGGCCGGGGTGGGCATGGCCACCTTGATGTTGCTTATGGGGGGGACACCTGTGGAAGCCAGGCAGGGTTGGGGGAGATCCAGGGGGTCTCTAGTGGGTGTGATGGTGGGCTCCAGGCTGGCTGGCCTTAGGCCAGTGATGGTGAACTTTTAGAGATCACGTGTGCTGGGACGATGGCGCATGTCTACAGAGAGGTCTCTGCGTGCCGCCTCTGGCATGCGTGCCATAGATTCGCCACCACTGGGCTAAGGGTTCAGATGGATTTGAAATAAGATGAAGGAAATCTTTAAATCCTTGAAAAAATGGGAAATGCTATTCTTTTCAGTTAAAAAAGTGATAGGATAGGAATTTGAAAGCTGGACTTTAGAAGGAGCTAAATATTACAATTAAAGGAGAAGAACATGTAATTTTGACTTACTAATAGAGATTAGAGCAAAATATTTCAGTATTGGATGTATTAAATAATATTTGTGAACAAAGGACTTGGTAGTTAATTTTAAGAGTGTCTGCCAATATAGATAGACCATTGAAAAAATGTTGAAAGAGGAACAAGTTTTACCACATAAAACTGAGGCGGATTTCAAAGTGGATTTAAAAATGACAAGCTACAAGGATGATATGGAAAAAGATGCTATACTGGATATACAAACCAAACCAGCTGATGACTTAATAAGTAAAATAAATATACAAATAACAAAGAAAAAAGCAACCTGGATAACTTTCTTTTGTTGGATTTATAAAAGAGACCTGTTAAAACTTTGGAGAATTTTGAGAGCAGAATTTTGTAAGAGACCAAGAAAAAACAAAAAGAAGCCGAGTCCTAAGGCATTATTTGAAGGGATTAAAGACCAAGATTATTCAAACTAAAGGGAAGGAATAAAAAGTTGGCTTATTTGATCAAAGTTGAAATAGATAAGTTGTTATCTCTGGTAAACTTTAATGGACTTTTGCTGACCAGGTATGAACAACAAAGCTTTAAGGATTTGTAGATAACATGCACATAAATAATAGAGTCTTCCCTCTTTCCATTAGGAATATTCAGAAAAGTCAGATGTGTGATTTTGGGGTATACAGCATTTGTTACATTCAGGAAAGGTGCCCTTACCTTATCTGGAGAAGGTAAACAGCCTCAGTGACACACAATGTTGTTGTGTGCAGCCTATGGATTCCAGTAATGTTCTCTACTTAGAAGTGTTCTTTATTTGGAAACAAAATGTGGTATAAAACCTGCACTGAAGAATCTTCTAGATGGAAGCAAGCAAGTAGAGTGCATTATATGGCATCAGTATTTTAGATGTTGGTGCCATCAGAGTCTGTTGAACTTTAACTCTCAAAATTGCATAGCTACTGGTGGGTCTACGACAATTCGCCATGGCCAACTTGCCACAGCCAACTCACCATGGCCAACTCGCCATAGGACAACTTGTTGCCAGATAAAAGTTACACTAATAACAAAGAAATGGTGGAATAGAATTATTAAAGAAAGGATGCAAAAGGAGGGACAGAATGAAATGTGATTGACAAAAATTAAAATAATTTATTTATTTTAAATAATTAAATAGAATTGTTAAATTGTTGTCCCATGGCAAGTTGTCTCATTCCTGATACCGATAGCACTCTGACTGGGATTTCTCTGAGTTGAATCCAGAGGCCACCACTGGATAGAATTTGTTTGGAGAAGGCCACCCCAAACACACCTACTCACTTATCCGTCTTGGGTTTGGCTGAGGAGATGCATTCCCCGACACTTCCTCAAGCCAGGAAATTCTCTTATCTTCTGATGAGATCCTGTAGTTTTGCCATCCCTGGACTTCGTGTCCTTTTGAATGATTGTGTATTTAAAGGCTTTATCTGCGGGTCAGAACAAACAACTTGTGTTTTTAGGGGAACTTTTTGAATGAAATGATTAAGTCACGTGTGTGGGGTATTTGGTGCTCTCTGAGCTTGGTTGTTTTCCTGCAGATGTTTTGTTACAAAATTAGATTACATCAGTGCTCACATGCTACATTCACATTTACAAGTTTTGTGGAAGTGTAACATAACTGAACCTATATAGGAGGTGTGGCAGAACATAGGGTAGAGTAAAAAGAGGGATCAGCCTAGAATCCCTACATGGCCACAAGTGAACTAAACCCCCTCCGTCTTGAATTCTGTTGACCCTTATCTAACTCCAAGTAGGTGCATTAGTTGAGAATATTCCTGTGCATGGGTATGAGTACCAATAAATCAGTTTAATTGGATCTTCACACGTGGACCTAATCTTTTGGGTCTGACAATGTATGATTTGCTTTTCTTCTTATATGAGATTTGAAAACTTGTCATTGAGTTCTGAAGTTCATGAATTTCTTCCTTTGTTCAAAGGAGTCTGGTTAGATAATAAAGATTACTTTAATGGAAAATATCTTCAGTGACATCGCATGGTTTGCAACAGTGCTTCGAAATAGGAGGAGATAAATTATTGGTCCAGCTCGTGGAGAAAATAACATGTCTGGAAATGCGTTACATGTAACATCTCTTCTTAATTTATACAATTTGATTGATACGCTATTTTGAGGTAATCTAACACATGGGGAATTAAAAAGCAGATTACATATTTGATTACACTGGTTGATTGCAGAAGTAATCTAAGAAATAGTGCAGTTCTTCACAATAGCCAAATACTTACATTTACCCAGATTTAGTTTTCCTTTTATGCAGAGTGTTTTTCCGTTTTTGTTAATATAGAACGGTTGTAACCGTTTTCAAAATTTAACTATATATATAAAACCATAATGTAAGGGTTCTAAAACTTTCTGGAAAAAGAAACTATTAATTCTGGACAGGATTGTTTCACAATTGTATGCATTATAGATGAGAAATTTTAGTTTAGTGATAAGGAGAGTTCTAAAGATAGAGATAGGTTTAGTTTGAATCTCTTTCCTACTTGTGTTTTTAATATTAGTAAGTTTAGCTTTTTCCTACATGGAACAATACAAATAATAGGGATAATTTAATAGATGGTTTACAAAAGGAAAAATAAAATTTCAAACTCTGACACTAAGCTGGCAATGATGGGAATAGTCCAACAATAAGAAAGTTGATTTATAAATAGAAGATAAAGACATCCCAAAGGTGCTTTTTCAAAAGGCAACTGGACTTTGTTTTTCATTGAAGACATTTCGCATCTCCTCCAACAAGCTGAAGAAGCTTCTTGGATGAGAAGCAAAACGTCTTCAAGAAAAAACAAACTCCAGTTGCCTTTTGAAAAAGCATCTTTGGGACAACCACGACCTGGATGACAGAGGATCTCCATAGAGAGAAGATAAAGAAATTCCAATTAATATTGCTTGAGTGCGCAGAATACATCACCTCTTGGATTCCCCTTTCTCGACCAAAAAAAATAACCATGTGAAGAACTGCACTTGGACTTTGTGTTGATTGATCCAAAGCACCAATCCAGTTCTTGGTTCTGTCCTTCCAGTTGGTCCCAGAGGATGAGAATCCTTTCTGTGTCCCCCTTTATTCTCTCTTTTTTAAATCACTTATTTTCCTTTTGTGATATGGAAGGGAAGTTGGAATCTCAGGGGTAGCTAATCCATTTCAGATGATCTCTGTCTCTCCACCCCCCAAGAAAACCAGGGTGCTCAGATTTCTTCCTTCAAAGCAGAAGAATGACAATTAGTAGTAGCTTGTTTATAAGCTGTTCGGCTGTTTGAAGTCTTCCAACCCCTTCTACTTGTTCGTCCCCCTTCCAGCCTTTTAACTCGTGCCTTTAAAGAGCCCAGGGGATGTTGATTATTTGGCTTCTGTAGCTCTGAAGTCTCCTCCTCCTTCCTGAGATCCACCCCTAAGCAGAATACGCACTGTGGAATGACAGGCATTCGTTCTTCTTTGGAGGGGGCTGGCATGGGAGCGTATTTATGAGAATTACACCGTGCCCAGGCGAGCGATACAGGACATACCGTGGCAGAGCTTGGACCTGCAATCCTGGACTTTTTCTGACTTTGGGGTCTCGGGGTGGGTTGGGGGGAAGTGGTGAAGTTTCTCCACCCTGCGGAGTCTGTTAACTTTCAAAGGCTGATGTCTGCTTCTCAAATTGGCTTGCCTTGTTCCCTCTCTCTGAGCCTACCTTGAAGAATAGAAGAATGGGACAGACGCGCTACTCAAGACCGGTATATCCAGCTCCCTTGGGTGAGTAATGGAGGGTCTAGTTGCAGCTGAAAGCACAGCCAAGAATTGTAGGTGAAGTCAAAGCACGTTGAAAAAAGAGATGGCTAGGATTGTGTAAGTTGGAAGAGTTTTTGATTCTCAGAAGTGCCGAGGAGAGATTGTTTTCGTAATCCTTGCTTTAAAAAAAAAAAAGAGAGAGAAGCCTTGCTATGGAACATCTATTGCTCTGTAACTTGTACCTAGTGTACTTTAGGAACCAGTCTTTTTGATCTTTGCTTGTTGCTGCCAGAGTGGAAAAGAATTCCGAGTAAAAGTGGTCAGCAGAAAATACGTATTCTGCATTTTGCTTGGAGTAAAATGCTTCAGACAAGGATGATGCGCTGATTTGCTATTTCTCCTCTATGTGATAATTATTAAAACACACTTCTTCTAATCACCTACCATCCTGAAGCAATTTACTCAGTCATCCTTTAGCAGGAAATTTTTTTAAAAGAACATTTGTCCATATCCACTTGCTTCCATTTTCAAAAAAAGCCATTGCCTCCACGATCCTACACTTTAAAATTAAAATGGACTCACTATCCAAGAATGAAGGAAGGAACAAAAGTTTCAGGTTGATGATTCCAGAGAGTGGGTCTTTTCAGTCATGGGTTTTAGGGACTATTAATGCCACTATTGAAGTCATCGTTGCTGTCCCTATAAAATCCCATAACTGTACATCTCTCGGGTTTTGACAAACTGTTTGGCAAAGCAGAGAAGCAAAGACTTGGGGCAGATGTAGGGGAAACATCTTGTGGTGTCTCAATTCAGGCAGCCTTGATGACAGTGGAGGAAATATCCAGGTTTGCATTTTAAGAGTTAACATCAGAATTGTACAAGGGATCTTTTTTTCTTCTTCCTCTCCTATTTAACTGTGGACCCAACTGAATCGTCTAGGGAGCCATCCAGAAAATATCTCTATCAGGCTACCAAGATTGGCGTGGTGTTGCCTGATAGTCAACCAGGATCTGAATAAAGATGCTGACAATTGAGGTTTTTTTAATGTATCTGCCATTTTTTTTCACAGTACTACAAATGAGTTAAGAAACATTTCTTAGCCTGACTCTGTGCAGGGTATATTTCACAATTAGGGTGTGACTTTGGTAGAGACAGTCTTTGATTTGGGAAATGAGCTTTAAGAGTTAAATATGTTTGCAGCTTGTCTTGTGGCCTCTATTATAAGTCGCATTTTAAATCTCCACTAAGTGCCTTCCCATTTTTAAGAGGCGATTTCTAATTTTGTGTGTCTGTGCGCTCCCTACTAATTTAAATTGCTAAATGTATTTAGCAATTTCCTTATTTGCAAAGGAGTAGATTAGATAGTAGCAGACAGATCCTTACATTCTATTATCTTGTGTTGCCAATGTTTAGAAGACTTAAACCAAAGCACTGGTAGTTGAAATAAAAAACAATTCTTTAGCAATAGATAAACTTTTAATGTATTGTAGGTACTCAAAGAAGCCCTCTGAAATGATTAGAACAGTATTTAGGGTGCAACATATGTATTACGTTTCTTTATTCTCACTTGCTGTTACCAAATTAAATCAACCCACCTGATTTGCACCTTAGTTTCTTAGAGATTGTATGCATTGACCAGAGACAGAACGTATATTTGCCCTTGTTGCAAATAGGAGTATGTGGCATTTGTTGATGTGACACAGCTTACAATATTGGAAATAGCCATTATTTTTCTGTAGCAGGTTGTTTTTTCTTTCAGGAAGATAGGTGGGGTGACCTTCCCCATACTTAAGCCCTGAGTGCACATAATTTGACTTCAGCAAACATATTGCAAGACAGTCTGGCTCTTGGGAAGGTGTGGGGAAAATGTGGAATTCAGTTCAAACTTAAAAAAAAAAAAATCCTTTCCAGACAAGGGCTTTATCCAACGTTCCCTTGACTTGTCTGTGTGTGGATTCCCAGTGACAGAATGTGCCATGGAAATGATTCTATGAAATGTGAATTTCGTTATGCGTATAATACATTACACACTGTAACAGACAGCTGTAGATCTACAACCCGTGGGTCACTGGTAGTGTGGATGCAGAGGTTGAATTCCTTTTATTTCCTCCAAGAAGTTGCTGCCACTACCCATATATATACTCTTTTGTTCCAGCTGAAGTAGAGCAGAACTTGTTATTTTTAAGGGGAAACATTGGTCTGCAGCATTACACTCTTTAAGCTTATTAGCTGTAACTCTGGATGTTTTTCACCCCTCAGTATCTAGTGCTATTAGTTCTGGTTATGATGAAAAAAAATGACAAAACATGTTGTGACTTCATGATGCAAACTTCACTATTTTGTACTTGATACCAGATGCAAGTACATAAGTCACAGGGTTTTGCTACAGTGATGCTATGATGTGTGTTTTGACACTCCCTCCACCCCCTGTTCCCTATGTGTTCACTTGACATTCATCTCATGCAACTTAGTGAACTATTCAAGCCACTGGTTAAAAACCAGAGTTAGCTGACCCCAATTACAATTTCTGCCAGGTTTCCACTATTTTTCTCAATAGAGGCTTACTGATGCAAATGTGCTATATTTCTCCATAGTGGTTCCTGGACAGTGAGGTTATACAAGTGTTTGCACAGTGGATGCATTATGTCCAAAAATACAATTTGTGCCCAAATTAAGCAGATGTTTTGTAATACAGAATTTAAATTTATGAAAGAGGAATAACCTGTTGTTTTTAATCAGAAAATATGCCAGCTTAAGAGCAGAGGTAAAGCCTGTGCAGACTTCCTTAATGAAAGAGCAAAAATAGACGCTTGGTCTACTTTTTACTGAGTTGCCACAATCGCACAAAAAGCCTGCAGCCTGGGATCCTCTACCACAGCTGGACCTAGCTAATTTAATCTAATTTAAATATATGTAAATATTTGAAGTAACACATTATCTCCAATCTAGTTCTATTAGCAAAGATGTACAGAAATAGCACTTCATACTCTTGTGATTTTCAGTTGTTTTGTGAAATAATTTTATCAGGGACATTGTTTACCTCCAGAGAATTTGCTGCTAGCCTGGGGTAAATACTATGGTATTAATGCGATGGTTGAAATAAAAAGAAGAAGCCCTTTTGTACTGCTCCAGGGTCTGTTGGATCACTGCGCTACATCAGAGCCATCATGGGCTGTTCTTGGCATCGTGACATCAACCACCTTCCTGTTCTGCTTATCATGTGGCGCTTGGTGCAATGCAGGACACGCTAATATAATGTCACCAAATTTACTGAGTTATTATTGAGCGCCTCGTGGATGCAAGACGTTGGCATAGGTATATATGCATTTCTGCTAGCAGAGGGGGATTTATTTCAAAAAAACTTTAATTTGGTGGTATTTATGGCACTCCTTGACTGCTTTCTGGTTTTGTTGTTATGAGAAGCTGCTACCCTTTGGGAATATATAACTCAAATGAAGATGATAGCTAACAATTGAAGAAATAGACAATTGCTACAGAATTTTAAGTATGTATAAAGAATGATAGAATCTACTATCTGTGTTAAAACCAGAGGTTTTCTTTTTAAGAGTGATGGATGAGCAGTTAGGAAGATTATTTTAATCTATGATTACTGTGGTGAGATTACTGTTTGCTCAATGAGGGAAAGATTGGGCATTACCCACTATGGAGGAATTGTTGGTGGAACTGACAGAACTTGCTGAGATGGAAAAATGGACTTATTCCTGTGTTTCTCAACCATGGGAACTTTAAGAGGAGTGGACTTCAACTCCCAGAATTCTGGGAGCTGAAGTCCACCCATGTTAAAGTTCCCAAGGTTGAGAAACACTAGACTTATTTGATTAGATAGAAGTCATTATTGACATTCATCAATGACTTCAAAACACCTTATGGACTTTTTGCACAAGAAAGAAATGTTTGTGATGTAGGCCTTTGATGATCAGAAGATGTACGTTATAAACCCACATTACCTGTTGATCTATCCATTGTTTGTACAATACAATCTTAGAATCTTTATGAAGAAGAAGGTGAATATATTTTATTTGACTAAGATTAGCATACTTAACCTCATTGGATTTTTGGATTTAACAGTTATTTCTGTAGAATATTTGATTTGATTACAGTTGGTTGTGGTACAACACCCATTACTTCAGAGTGGTTATATCCCAGTATGTCTTCACTGAATTACAACCAATAATCAATAGGATGAATTCTAGAACCTTGTTGCCTTTCCATGACATTGGGAAAAATGGTGAATATTATAATTTGGGTCTGCAGCAAATGTCATTAAAATAATGTTCCTAGATCAGAAATGATCATTTCACCAAGTGAATGAATAAAATTAGAGCTCTTATTAAAATATAACGCCCTTGGCATTTTTCTAAAGAGGAAGCATGTCTGCAAATAATTGGAATATTTAGTAGTGTTGCTTTTGATGTCCAGAAATACATTTGCAAAGGAAATCCTAAAATGTTGGCTTTTGTGTTCTGCAAAATATGAAAAATGATTTTTCAGAAGTATTCACCAAACATGGGATCTCCTTCAGTGTATATCATAATGTTTAGAGCTTACACTGTTTTGTTTTTGCATTCATGACTTTTATTGTTTTATCAATGTATAAAATACAAAGAAAAATAAAAATAGGAAATTAAGGGAAGGAAAAAGAGAGAGGGGAAGAAAATACGATGTACAAGGGAAAAAGGAAAAAACGTCGACGCCTAATTTTTTTAGCACAATACATGATAACAGCATTACAGCCTCAACTTTTTATTTTTACACATTAGTATATAACTAGCCATTTCTCTAACAACAAATCTATCTAATTGGCAAAATCAAACTCACAGTTTCATTTTTTTCATCACAAGCAAAAAAATCCAGAAGTGATATCCAAATAAAAAACATAATTAAATATATTCTCCTATTTGAATAAAGCAATCAATTTAACCATTTCTGCTTTATCTTCCTTGCTGTGGAAATAATACATATTTCTGTTTGCACTTAATATTTTTTATAAATCATCACCATTTATATTAACAAAATTCACTGTATTCTTTCAGATTTCTTATAATCAGTCGTAAGAGGAAAAAACTTTTTCCCATCCATTTTAAACATTAGCCTTTTCTTTAAAAACATTTCTAAAATCAAAACATTTTAATACATCTTTTTCTTAATTTCCTTTTAACATGCATAAAGTTCACTTTCAGACCAATAAAATTCCAACTAACTAATTACATTTAAATCACTCCCTCCATGTTATCCTCACAGAATAATTTTTTCTTCTTGTTTACATCCTTTTTAAAACTCTAAACTTTTCTTTAAGCTAATACATCTTTTTCTTTAGCTTTCTCTTAACATATATACTTTCAAATACACTTTTAATAATATTTTACAAGTTTTAGGAATTACTTAAGCATTATATATAAAGGAAAAAAATACATTTTCATAATGTTCCCAACAATTTTCCTCTGGTTGCTGATCAAACCCAGACTTGCTTAGTTTTCAGTAACTATAATCTATACATTGTTCCTTTTATGGCAATGATGGTTATACAGTAATATTGATTAATAAATAAATCCTGATTTAAAGTGAGTTTTCTTGACCAGTGTTTTAAATCAGTTTCAATCAAATCCACTCTACCAAGAACTCAAGAAAAGCACCTTCCCTTTACCAATTTAATAATAATAATAATAATAATAATAATAATAATAATAATAATAATAATAATAATAAAAATTGGAAGGGACCTTGGAGGTCATCAAGTCCAACCCCCTGCTCAGGCAGGTAACCCTATACCATTTCGGACAAATGGCTGTCCAGTTTCTTCTTAAAAACTTCCAGTGTTGGAGCATTCACCGCTTCTGGAGGCAGATTGTTCCACTGGTTAATTGTTCTAACTGTCAGGAAGTTTCTCCTTAGTTCTAGGTTGCTTCTCTCCTTGATTAGTTTCCATCCGTTGCTTCTTGTCCTGCCTTCAAGTGCTTTGGAAAATAGCTTGATTCCCTCTTCTCTGTGGCAGCCCCTGAGATACTGGAACACTGCTATCATGTCCCCCCTCGTCCTTCTCGTCATTAAACTAGACATACCCAATTCCATCAACCTTTCCTTATATGTTTTAACCTCCAGTCCCCTAATCAACTTTGTTGCTCTTCTCTGTACTCTTTCTGGAGTCTCAACATCTTTTTTACATCGTGGTGACCAAAACTGGATGCAGTATTCCAAGTGGGATGCAGTATTCCAATTATTTAAGTAGAGGTGCCGAGGAAGTAGCTGGAGGTGTCCATATACAAGACACTAGTTCTTTTGGAGATTTTCTTGATTTTCTTGCCTTCCCCAAAACATGGAATTGTGAATTCCCATCCAAAGATTTCCCCTAAGTGGTTAATGCGCTAAGTAGTTACTTGTGCACATTTCTGCATATCTAAGTATGGTTGCAATTGGGTTTTGCATTGGGAGGCATTCTACATCCAATCATTTCTTGCATCTGGAAGTATTCTGTTCCCTTTAGTTTATTTGTTTTAAGGACACAGGTCTTAAAGTGTTCTTGTGCAGCTGAGATTCAAAAATGTCTCACGTCCATATTTGCCAAAAAGTAGATTTATTTTTGGAAAGCTCCATGGAAACACCCCCTACAGTGTAAGCCATTTGTGAGTAAGGCAGTTACTCTACAATCTCCCTCTGAAAGAATTATGATAACACCTGATCTACTCACTAAGTCATGGAACAAGAGTAATATATTATTTCTTCATAAGATTGGTCTTAAATTGGCTTTGTTCCCATTCACACATGATCTCAACTATATCACTGTATGATATGAACCCCTTTGAAGCCAGTGTCACTCAAATGATGCCAGCCTCCTGAAAACATTTGTTTGAATAGAAGCCTGACTTGGGTTATAGGATGTTGTAAATACTGGGAGAAATTGAAATGGCAGCGCTGTGCAAAGAGAGCATTTACATCATAACTTCATTCAAGTAGGTATTCTTGGTGCAGAGTAATAATGAATGGCAAATAGAAGTGAATGTTAGATATTTTCAAATTAACTTAGATTTCATGCTTATGCTAAGCCATAACTTTTAACCCTGGAATTTTGGAATTTGCACTTGGTATGCCATTGCTGAGAAATAGGCTGGCCATGGATCTGGAGAGTATGCAGGTTGCAGAATTCCTAAAGTGATCTGTTTCATTTTAACTTCATACAGTATGTGAAACTAGGAGAAGGAGTGGGAGAACCTAGGGGCGGAGTCAAAAGAGAAATCAGCCTGGAATTTCTATGTAGCCACAAATGGACTGATTCCAGCACCTCTTGGATTCCATGCCAAGATAGTGCTGTTATTTGAGTAGATTTTTATAAATAGGCATACTTAGTAATACATCAATATAATTGGAACTTGTGTTATCCTGATTTTTCATGCCTAACTAGCCATTAGAGCAGTGGTTCTCAACCTGTGGGTCGGGACCCCATTTGGGGTCGAACGACCATTTCACGGGGGTCGCCAAACAACGCAGTCCGTCATTTCCCCCCCCCCTTTTCCTTAGCTGTGCTACTCCCTTTTATTTTATTGGCTTTTGAAAGCCAATAGAATAGACTCTCTTGAATAGAGTATAATTCTATTGGCTTTCAAAAGCCAATAGGAATTGTCCAGGCTGTCTCTGCCCTGCTGAGCCCGCCGAAAGTCCCATTCTGCAAACGGTGCTGCACCAGTTGAGTAGTCCTCGACTTACGACTGGTTGGGGGTCGCGGCATTAAAAAGGTTGAGAACCACTGCATTAGAGTTTGTTATCTATGCTTTATAATATAGGTTGGTTTTGTATTGTTTTTTTTTGTTGTTTACAAATATTTTTAATAATTTGTAAACCACCCAGAGCCACTGGGAGTTGGGAGGCATAAAAATGTTAATAAGAATGATAATAGAAAATCTATGAATTGACAAAATTTCTGTCTGTCAATTACAAGACCTGACTGGATGAACTCAGGCATAATATACGAAATCTAAGGAATAATTTCTTGGTCACTCTTTAACTTACAATTGATTGTGCAGTTTTGGAAGTGAGTTCTATAACAACGAATCAGATGTGATTCATCTTTTTCCTATATGATTTTTTTTTTGAAATTTTGTTTTCCTTTGTTTACAGTTTGTTCCTAAGGAGAACTGTTTATACTGCATTGTCATATTTGTAGAAAGGGAAAGATGCTGATCAGCATTCTTCATTGTGGTATCCTCCAGATATGTTTGAAATAGCAACTTCCATATTTCCACATAGGATAGGTAACATAATTCTAGGAAATATGGGGCATATTCTGGGACATATGAAGTTTAGTAAGCCCATTTACAAAATGCCGTAGGTTAACTTTGAGCAGAGATTGGATATTTGTGGCCATATGACCAAGTAGCTAAAAAGTTGGGAAGATTTGACAGGCAATAACCATAGTGGGAAGCTGTCGGATGCATAGAGCATTTTGATGATTTTTAAAATAAAATATTCCTCCTGATGTTTTAAACCCCCCCCCCAAATAAAATGGAAGCTTATGGAAATGATAAACTAAAGAAAAGAAGAAGAAAGATGAATTAATAGTGACTGAGAGACAGAGTATTTATCAGTAAATTCAAAAAGGATATCTTTTGGCTAATGGAACTTCTTGTAAATCATGCTGGTTGACTAATATTTTACAGGGAAAACTCCAAGTACCATAAAATGGCTCAAAACAGTAAAACCTGAATGGATTTTCCATATCTGACATTTGTTTGCTTCATAGACCAGTGTCGTACTTAAGCTGCAGGGATATTTTCCCACAGGCCCTTTCTCTTCCTCCTGCGCACTCTTTGTTTTTAAAAATGTTTGGGGAATGCCAGAACAGTAGGTGGAGTGGGAGGCTGTTATTGTGTTGATTTCCTGAGATTGTTACTTTTGGCATGGGATGCTTTTTCTCCCCCCCCCCCATTTTTAAAACAGGAAGTAAATCAAAGCCACCCCCCTCATCATTTTAGCTTGTTTTTTGTCTACCCATTTTATAGCAAATCTGTACAATAGTGTAATGTATAGTATTTTCCCAAGGTTTTTTTTCTGTGTATTTTCCTGCTGCATAAGGTTTTTTTAAAAAAACTAATAAAGTTATATTCCAGCTACAGGTAGTCCACTACCCATGACCACAACTGAGTTCAAAATTTCTGTTGCTAAGCGAAACAGTTGTGAGTTTTGCCCCATTTTATGACCTTTCTTGCCACAGTCGGTAAGTGAATCACTGCAGTTGTTAAGTTAGTCACACAATTATTAAATGAATTTGGCTTCCCCATTGACTCCGCTTGTCAGAAGGTCGCAAAAGATGGTCACATGGCCCAGGGACCGTGCAACCATCATAAATATGAGTCAGTTGCCAAGCGTCTGAATTTTGATCATGTGATCACGGGGATGCTGCAATGGTTGTAAGTATGAAAAGTGGTCATAAGTCACTTTTTTCAGTGCCGCTGTATCTTCAAATGGTCAGTAAATGAACTGTTGTAAGCCAAGGACTATCTGTAGTCACCTTCATCTAGAACAGGGGTCCCCAACCCCCAGTCCGTGGACCAGTACCAGGCCACAGCATGCTAGCAACCGGGTCTCACAAACAAGCAAAGCTCCGTCTGGGGGATGCAGGCAGCACACAAAACCATGCACCCTCCGGTCCATGAAAAAACCTCTCTCCATGGAACCGGTCCCTGGTATCCAAAAGGTTGGAGACCTCTGATCTAGAACGAGGTATCATTGTGCCAATGTCCTCTTAGAATGAATGTTTCTCTTTCTCTTTCGTGTGTAGCTGAGGAGGGGGAGCAGCCAACACAGGATGCTGGAACGGTGGCTGAAGTTCTGGAATCTGGCGACACGACCCCACCTTCCAAGAGAAAGAGCAAATTTGCTGGTTTTGGCAAGATCTTTAAACCTTGGAAGTGGCGGAAAAAGAAAACTAGTGGAAAATTTAAGGAGACATCAGAAGGTAACCTGCTAGACTCCAGTCCTGTTCTTCTCCCCTTAAGCCCTTGTGCTTTCTTAGCCTGAGTTTGCTCACTGCGTTAAGTGGTAAAGTGGCTTGATTTCTTTTGGCTTTTGAGTGGTAATGAGAGACTCTAGCCACTGTACTTTGTAAATCATGTTTTGTGGCTTAATTCAAGGGAAGGAGTAAGTGAAATGTAGTTTAATCAACAAGCCACAAGTAATAGTCTGTTATTTCCTGAGACCCCAGTCCTTGTTTTGGATATGGTATTTGTTCTTATGCCATTTTACCTCCCTGACTGCTTTGGCCACAGGTCACTGAATCAACAGATCTTCCAGATCAGAAATTATCTGGCATAGCACTTTGCATTCTTACCTGAAAATAGCAGATTCCAGATCTGCTTCCTCAGAAATGTTTTCAAAGTTTTATTGCCACTTAATAATGATAGCCAACTGTGTCTATAACTAAGCTTTGTTGAAGTGGCCTGTAGTAAAATGCCAAATAGAAGTTCAGACAAGGAGTGTCTAGTTAAAGTTCTATTGACTATTTTCCAGTTGTAAAATACTGTATGCATGAGGTGTTATCCTCCTCTTACAACATGGATTGAGGGAAAAGAAATACTTACATAATAATATGTATGTAACATTCATCCTTAAAGCAATCACAACGAGCCACTTAACCATATCTTAAAAGTGATTTTTTCCCCTCCATCTTTGCCCTCTATTCTGAGTGCTGGTTTTTTGTTTCCAATTTAATGTCAGTTTTAGAACGAAAGATTTCAATGCGAAAACCAAGAGAGGAGCTCATTAAAAGAGGGGTTCTTTTGGAAGATGTTGAACAGGGTGAGTTTACCCATTGTCTTCCTCTGTGTATTCTACATTTGCAGTTCCAGCTCTGATAAGTTTCATCTTTGGCATTTCATGCCTGGGTGCCCCCTCGCTTTCTCCCATCCCATCCCCTTCCCTTCCCCACCTCTGTTAAATATGACTCTCTGTCCTTATCTGCCCTTTGAACATTTTTGATACTATATGTTCCGGGGAGAGACAGCGAAAGAACTGTTTCATTTATTTCCTTTCTTTTCTCCAAGGAGACATTTTAGGTTGACAGATTATGAGTTTCTGAAGGTCAGCTAGTGAGTAACTGAAAAGCTGACTTGGATTCCAAGGTAGCAGTAAAAAGGAATAGCAAAAGCACTTATATATTGCTCCACAGTGCTTTACAGCACTCTCTGAGCGGTTTACAAATGTCAGCATATTGGCCCCAACAATCTGGGTCTTCATTTTACTGAACTTGGAAGGATGGAAGGCTGAGTTAATCTTGAGCCCATCAGGATCAAACTCCAGTCTTTGGGCAGAGTTAGCCTGCAATAGTGCATTCTAACCACTGCACCACCACAGCTCATAATGGCACAAGGATAGTGCACAACCTTCATATATAGAGGACTTTGGTTCAATTCTTGATAATTGAGGATGGGGCTGGATACATCTAAAATTGTGGGTGACTGGATGATTGACAGCCAACTACCAAAATTCTTAGCAGATGTGAGCTCATATCTGGATACTTCAAGACTGGAAAGCTCAGTGATTTGGGACCATAATTTAGATTTTGGGGACCATAATTTAGACTTTTGAAGCATAAGCAGCCGTGGCATTGCCAGCCACAAAATCCTCATTTTATGGAAAGTAAAAATGAGGATCCTCACTGCCAGCACTTTAGATTTCCAGGTTGTTCCTCTTCCCTCCTCCCAGGTGGGCACACTTTCTTAAAAAAAAAAAAAAAAGCCTTAATTCAAGACCCAGAGGCATTTCTGTTGATAAAGAAAATACTAAACATGGTCTTCCTTGCAGCAATTGGCTACTTCTTTCAAATTTAAAGTGCATGAAAGAAGTTTTAAAAGTCAGGTGTCGCAGTAGGCTTGGTGGGATTCAAGGAACATATCAGTAGGTCTGTTGGTGCTTCACAGGGAACACATTGGGGGGATGCAGGCATGGAAAGTTGTGAATAAAATGGACTGCAAATCTGTCCCAAAGGTGCTTTTTCAAAAGGCAACAGACTTTGTTTTTTCCCTGAAGATGTTTTGCTTCTCATCCAAGAAGCGTCTTCAGTTCTCAGTTGGATGAGAAGCGAAACACCTTCAAGGAAAAACAAAGTCCACTTGCCTTTTGAGAAAGCACCTTTGGGACAACTATGACCTGGGTGACTGAGAATCTCCAAAGATAATCTGGCTCATTATAAGACAATTGCTTAGCTTCTAGCCCTGCTTCACTGGGGCTACTTTGCTACATCAAGGCATCTTTACTGGAGGTGGAATGTTCTAAAGGCAGCAAAAGAACAGATAGACTTATTCATAAAATCTTGAGCAGAAAAGAATTTACTGTCCCCAACTGGATGAGGAACTGAATTCCTCTGTCCTGAACTAATGTCGTCCTTTTTCAAAATTAGGAATGTTGCAAAGAGCAAGTTGGTCATTCTCCCTTCCCCATTTCAGTCAGATATTAATTGGAAACCTTGGCTGTGGTGGTGGGGACTGTTTTGCAGAATATTGCTGATCCAGCCACAGGAAAAGGCAGAAGAGGAAATACCCTTTCCTTCTCAGTAGGACAAGAAATCCATGCCTCTCCCTTCCTATTCCTTACTTACTGTGAGTTAAAAATATTTGTGTTCCACTTGACAGCAGGACTCCAGGCTCAGTGTAAATCAGTGTTTCTCAAGCTTGACAATTTTAAGGCATGTGGACTTCAACTCCCAACTCTGGGAGTTGAAGTCCACATGCCTTAAAATTGTCAAGGTTGAGAAACACTGGTGTAAATGAACTCAGGATAGGAGAGATCTGGAGAGGTAGTGATAAAAACTTTCTCCCCCAGTTTCTTCTTTCATTGTGATAGGATGGAAATGAAGAATCACTCTGCTTCTCTTAGCTTGCTCACAGCTTTGGCAATACATCTGGGATGCAGCATGCATCTGTGAGATTCACACAACCTTGGTTTCCTTTTTAGCTAGCCCAGGGTTTTTCCAGTGGCACCACCACACATCCTAAGAAGGAAGAACAGGAGCCTTGAAATGCCATTCCACACTTTGAACACCTGCTCAGCAGGCTGAGCAGACTTGGGTGGCTGTTTGTCAACTTTTCCCTACTCAGAGAATGAAGTGCGTTATATTTATAATTACATTGGAGTAATTTTTAAATCTACACCTATAAATCAGCATTTATAAGCTCATGCAGATTATGTAACCTGCATTTGAGGTGATGTATAAGTCACCATCCAAGGAAAAGAATGCACACCTTCTGCTTAGTGGATTGAAAGCATTGGCTCTTCTCTCCTTAATTGTTTCCCTCTTTGGGACAAGGTACTGTAGTTTCCAATTGAAGAGGTGTAGGCACTTTGGATCGGTTCTTATTTTGAGTTTATTTTCTAAACTATCTTCCTGGCCACTACCACCCCCCCCCCTCCTCTCTCTGTTCTCTTCCCTTTGGTGCAAAGAACCCATAAATACATAAACAATCCATCTCTCTCATCAGTTTTAGAAATTCACATAGAGACCACAAGAGAAGCCATTGCCTGTATATGTGCCAAGATAATTTATTCAGCCGCTGCCTTCATTTCCTCCTTAAACAGAAGCTGGAAATTCAGAAACACAGCACAATGGCGTGTATTTTGTTGGGGCTAGTGAAAATGATACAGGCATGTGATATACACAGCACTGGAGAATAGTGTGTAACGTCACGCTCTAGTTACACTGAGAGAAAAACGAGCAAGGGTAAATAGAGGACTGCTTGGTGTTAAAATGACTAAAGTGGCATAAACATTTGGGGAAAAAATGAAGGAATGAATAGATGAATAAATATTAAAAACAGAAAAACATAAACTTGCAGGTACATGTTACAGCATGAGGCTGAGTTTTATTATGATAGGAGTTTCTTATTGAAAACATGAACCTACAAGAGTCTATTTACGGTTTGAGACTAAGTTACAGAATTTAAAAATACAGCACACGGTTAAGACATGCATATGTGCATAAGTAACAATACATCTATATACTACTAAAACTCTATTTCTCTGTTTGCAAGCTTCAGTTGAGGAAGTGAGTACATCATAGGGCAACAGTTTTTGAATCAACATACCTGAAGTGGGCTAACTCAAACAATGCATCCTAATCTGGATCCCATTGCTCCTATGGACTTGAAATTTGGCAAACTTGTGGCTGTTTCAGCACTGCTGTGTTGCCACACCCACTGCCCTGATGTGGTCAGCTGTGGTCTTGTGATCTTCATTTCCCTGTCAACTTCCACAATGAAAGTCAGCTGGAAAGCCAGCAGGAAGTCGGAGGTTCCTCCTCCTCCTCCTCCTCCTCCTCCTCCTCCTCCTGCTTTTTGCCTGCCCAGTTTCTCTATTTAGGTAAGAAATATCTTTAAAATGATGACCTGACAGGTTATGGGTTGTCTAGTACATTTATAAAAAGAAGCCCCATAAAATTAATAATTCATTGAAGGCACTAACTGGTTTCTATAAGCAAAGGCTATAAATAAAAGCTTTGCTCCTGCCTTCAAAACTCCTGGGTATGGATCATTTAGACAGAATGGCTCAATCTCATTACCCTCATAAATCCTCGTAAAGTTTATCAGACTCAGGAGCAGATGTATCAGCTCCAATTGCCACTGTGAGTACAGGGGGCATTTTAAAAGGACATGTGAAACAAACTCAGTTTCTGTCTTTGAGCAAACACATATTCGATCCTCCTATGGAAGTTTGGCATATCAACCAGCTGTCAAGCAGAGTCTGTAAATGGAATTGTAATAACTTGAATCAGGGAGGAAATAAGTGACACAAGTGAAAGTGATGCCTTGTATAAAGTGGGAGTGATCTTGGGTACCCTATGCCCAGTTTTTCCCTCTTCTAGAACTGACCTGCTCCTGGATAGCCACAGTATAAGGGGGATCATGCACTAATACAAGGAAGTACCAGATTTCTAACAGGTAGCTGACGTGTATATACCTCACTTCCTAACAATGTTTTGTTGTGATTGATGTATTGAAAACATATTTCACAGTGTCTGTTCCACATATGAGTGCACAGCAGCATGTGGAAGGTTGTACTTTGGACAATCTTGTGTTGATGCAGTGTGTTTGCAGATAATAAGTTCTCGTGTGCAGATAACAGTTTAAGAAAGTTTGTTTTTTCAAACCCAGAAAGGAATTTTCTGGTGCTCTTTCTGTAAAAGCGACATACTGTTCAATCTGTTTTGACCTCTTGATTTACTTGTGCATTATGTTATGGATGCACTTGGTTGTTTCAAATCAAGATCATGCCTTCTACTAGGTTTGTCTTTTAATTCTCTCTGGACGGAAGGTTTCTATAGCTGTCCAAGGACAGCTGATTCTTCCCTTGTCTTTTCAGATGAAGTGGTGATTGCTAACAGACCTGTATTCTTGTTTTTATGGAATAATAATAATATTAATAATAATAAAAACGTTGGAAGGTACCTTGGAGGTCATCTAGTCCAACCCCCTGCTTAGGCAGGAAACACTATACCATTTCAGACAAAAGGATGTCCAGTTTCTTCTTAAAAACTTCCATTGTTGGAGCATTCACCGCTTCTGGAGGCAGGTTGTTCCACTGGTTAATTGTTCTAACTGTCAGGAAGTTTCTCCTTAGTTCTAGGTTGCTTCTCTCCTTGATTAGTTTCCATTCGTTATGTTATTGTCTTTGGGATTTTAACCTTTGAGTCAAATTTGTGATACGGGCAGCTGTACACATTGTCTAAACAAACAACCAAACCAAGAAATAATCCAAATCATGAGTAAGAACCAATTCCTGTTGGAGTAGTGTTGAGCCTTCAGTGAACATTGTCTAGACCAGACTTGGGCATTTTATGGCCCCAGGCCACATCCGGCCCTTTGGTTGTCCCTGTCTTGCCTGTGTGAGGTCAGTCAAAAATTAGAAATCAAATGTAAATTAGACATAACATGTATTCTTACCAGTAGCAGCTAACCAAAACCATGTAATTTATTGCTTTTTATAAAACAATAAAATTAACATTGAGCAGAATTAAGTTCAGCCTATTAGTTTGACCTTCACAACAGTCCTAGTTTCTCATGTGGCTGCTTGGGAAAATTAATTGCCCTCCCCTGGGTTAGACCTTCAGTTTCCTGACATTTCACCAGCAACTGTGGTTGACATCTTCAGATGCAAGGTAGCCTGTGGACCACAGTCACTAAAACCTTGAAGCTCAACACTGCCTAACAGTTTACTGGCTGTGAAAACCCATATTAGGATGCTGTTGATTTATTGAAGCCACACATGACAAATTAAATGTCATTAAAGAAAGAATCTGAAAAGCTAGTTCTGTGTTCACTGAACTGTCTGACACTGAGTTTTATGGATCAAAGAACCCATGTGGAAACTTGAATTTCTGCAGTAATCCTTCTTATAAAATCTCATAATCCTCTCCCCCCCCCCAAGTGTACTGAAAGCAAGGTGCCCCTTTTATCATAAATCCCCCATGGGATATTAAGAAAGCAAAGACACATATTTCACAAAAAGTATGGATATTTCTCTTTCTGGCTTTATGAATCCCCTGACTCCTGCAGAATATTTCCTGCTAAATTTCCATTTAGGCATAAGACAATAATAAGATTATAGAAATAGATATTTCTTAAATTGGAGTAATCAGCAATATTACACATCAAAAACTCCTTTATTCCAAAACCCCCTCTGAACTGGAATGATAACTAATATTTCACAATGGCATAATTCCATTAAATTTCACTGTTGGGAGGCTGGATAGGCTTTGTTCAAGGCCAAACACAATGTAAGATTAATCAAGCTCCATAGCTCTCCATATCCCATATTTCTCATTTTGAACTGTTCTATTTTTTAACTAAAGCTTATGGTGCATGGGTTTCCCCTCCCTCCTCTCTGTCTACTCTACTGTATTCCTGATTTTTAACAATGAGCAGAAGTTGAACAGAGGGCAAAAGACTACTTCAAACATTAAACACTTCAGTATAAATATTTTATTAACAATGATTCAACCTTCACAAGTTATGCATGTCATCCCTGCTGCATGATCCTTCCTTCCTTCCTTCCTTCCTTCCTTCCTTCCTTCCTTCCTTCCTTCCTTCCTTCCTTCCTTCCTTCCTTCCTTTCTCCCTCCCTCCCTCCCTCCCTCCCTCCCTCCCTCCCTCCCTCCCTCCCTCAATTCCTTCCTTCCTTCCTTCCTTCCTTGAAATCCAGAATCACCTTCTACATAGACTGTATCCCCTACTTTCTTTCTTTTTTCTCTCAGCAGTTTGTAAGAGATTTATAGAAACATTCACATATAAGAACATGCTCCCAGCTATACATGTACACAGACACACATTGGAGGCATGTGAAATACTCAGAAGTATAGAAGTATCACCTTTGTTTTACCTGCCCTGTTTTGTAGCTTTACCATAAAAACTAGCCAGCTGAGATCAGCTCATAAATTTGGGATTTTACCAAGGCATTTGTGAATCTTCAGCCATTTTAGATATTCTAAATTCCTAGTTAGGTGGGATTTAATATATATTGGGAAAACTGAATGCACACTAACTATACATTAAAAGTGGAGGATGATTTCATCTTTGGCCCTTGGGTTTAGTCAGGAAGAAGAGACCACTTGTTTTGTCTCCCTTTTGACAATCAGAAGTATCTTATTTTCTCTTCAGGTTTTTTTGGCAGGTGTCCCAAATTGTACTCATCTTTCTTTTAAAAACATTGAAATTTCACACTTGAATGATTGCACAAATCTTGGTCTAACCTCACTAGCTCTTAGTAAGTAGGGTCTTCCACCATTTCGTTGACTTGAAAAACAAGAAGGACTGGATTGCCAACCCCATGCAGGGCATGCTGTATCATGTTGTGTTTGATAATGACTATTTTTTGCTGTTAATCTTCCTCTGGATTTTTCTCATAAACATTTGGGAGATCCTGTGCTTTGCGTGACAAGCGATTGCTTAATTCCCCCCCCTCCAGATGGAGAAGAGCCAGAGAAGCCAATTCATGCTACTTTGAAAAATGGACACACCATTCCCATTGACTATTCTGGAATTGTCAATCTTGCACACTTGGAGGAAGAAACCGGAAAGAGATTGAGCCTTAAGAAGTCCAGTCCCCCTGAAGAGCCAAAGAAATTGCAGGGTGAGAAATTAAGAAGTTGTGTGTGTGTGTGTGTGTGTGTGTGTGAGAGAGAGAGAGAGAGAGAGAGAGAGAGAGAGAGAGAGAGAGAGAGAGAGAGAGAGAGAGAGAGAGAAAGTGTGAATGGGGGAAATTGTCCCAGACATAAATGTTGTTATCTATCACTTCTTAATTGTGAATATAACAAGTTTTGGGTCTTGTTTCTAAGGCACTCCCACCTACAAGCTGTTATCATAAAAGGCCTGGCCCTACCCAGTTTATCTTTTTCCATCTTACCAATTACCAACCTTGATGTCTCTTTCTACCCACGCGTTGCAAGTGAATGCCAGCCTTGGAGTTTGGGAAACGACACATACTTTTGTTTAGATTGGAGAAATAAATTAATTCCCTAGGCTCTCCAGACATGTTCCCCTCCCTTCTCCTCTGTCTTTCAATGGCAGGGCCCTGGTTTAATGCAGCCATTCTCTTCTCTGGTGCACTAGTGGAAGATAGAATTTCTAGACTTTCCAGCTATCATACTGTCAGCCTTTGGAAGTAGTCCAGATAACCAGGTGTACTAACACTATATTTATTATAAGATTCCAGTAACAGAATCTTGCACTTCTTTATTTTTACATTCAAGAAAACTAAGGAGGGTCCCTTCTGAGATGCTTCCCACATCCTTTTTCTATACCCTTTGCATGATGACTGTCTTGATTTCCCACATACTTGTCCAACACAAGGAACCAGGATAAGTTAAAAGTACTACAGTTTCATGCTACCTATACACAAGAATCTGATCTACTAACAGGCAAAGCAAATTGGCACTAAATAAAGAGTCTACAGAATTCATGGGGACTGGACTTATTTTCCTTACGGGAGTGTAGTGACTCCAAACTGATGACACATTTGACCCCGCCCTCGGGCTCAGCCTGGTCATCTCCAACAACACTATTACACATAAACAGTGGATATGTTGACTTGGGATGTCCCAAGGGCGTGATGTAATGTGGAAGAGAAGGTTGGCGTGATCCATATCTGAAATATTTGGAATAGTTCTCAGAACCAGACTTTGGGCTAAATTAGAGAATTTGCTTCCTGATTGGTGTCTTATGTATCTAATACAGGCATTATACCAAGCTGGTATAGATGCAGCAGAAAAGGTTCATTTACAGACAATATTACAGTGATTAAGGAGTAATTCTGTCCAGCTCAGGCAGTTAACCCTTTTTAAAAAATATTTCTTCACAGGACCTTTCAGCAATCACCCGAATTTGGAAACGGAGACCCATCCTGAGCCCCTTGCTCCCAAGCAGCCGCTGCTTCCTCCAAAACGACCGTTGTCGTCCTCCTCGCAGGAGACGAATGATCTGCAAACAAGGGAATTTGGCCTTGGCAACAGCAGTGCAAGGACTGTGTCTTCTTCCACAACTGCAGCTGCCCCACGGACTGCTCCTACCCCTGCCCCCCGGACTCTGCCCTCTGCTCCCACAAGTGGCCATGCTTTGGCCACTAATACTAGCAATGCCACCCCGACAAAGCAGCCCCCTGTGCCACCACCCAAGCCTGTTAATAGGAATAGCAACCCCTTAATAGGTAAGTGGCTGTTCTTTTCATCCCAACCTTCTCCCCCCCCCCCCGTTCAATTGTGTCCTTCTCCACGGCAAGTCCTAGGACACACTCCTTGGCAGTTTTCTTGGCAAGGTTTTTCCAAAGTGGTTTGCCATTACTTCTCTCCTAGGGCTGAGAGAAAAGGATTGGCCCAAGATTATCAAATTGGATTTGTGCCTAAGATTGGACTAGAATTCATAGCCTCCTGGTTTCTAACCTGATGCCTTAAACATTACATCAAACTATCTCTAGCACCCTAAGTAAGACCATCTTTAATTTTGATTTGCTGACATTTGATCTCTTTTATTCCTCCAAGACACACAAACTTTTTTTCCCAATGGTATTGTTTTCAACATGGCTATTGGTTCATTAGGTTGTCCCTTCTCTTCCAGCTCAGTAAAAAAGCTACATCATGTTTGAATACAAATATCAATTCACTTTCCTTTTACAATGTTTATATCAGTTTAAAATCTTAGTATCGCACAATAGATTGTATTACAGATGGACCTAGAGAAGTGGAAAGATATCCTTAATGTTCCTTATAGACATGTGTAACATTTTCCAGGGTATTTTGCTCTGGTTGATGCCCAAGTATAAGTCTCTCCTCCAAGGTATACTGTAGATTGCAACTCTTTTCTTAGATGTGTCTCTCAGGAGTCAGGTAGCACTTTTTTGACTAACAAATTTTAATAAAAGATATAGGATTTATCAGATGTAGAGAGTTGGCTAGACTAATGTAGAATTTAAATGGGAAGGGGATCGGTGGGGGAAAGGAAGGGGAATATAGGTTGATTAATTGGACAAACAGACCATAACTTTATTTCAGTCTTTGATCAGTTATGCTTATGCAAGTGCTGGATACATTTAAAACAGATTAACATACCTTATCAATTAGCAATTGTAATGCATTAAAAAAAACCCACTGTGTTTGTTGAGACCTTCTGAAGTAGCCTAAAACCTGTTGAAGTTTGTGAGGTCAGCTATTTCTCACATGATTGTACTATTAAAATCCCACTTTTCCAAAGCAGTCACTTTGAGGCCTTCAGTGATTGTTCTGGAAGGTTGAAATGCTCTGATATCCTTGTCCTTGAGTCCATGATGTCTAATCTGATGTCTAACTTTAAGGTGTGCAGACTTCAACTTCTAGAATTCCCAGTCACTTGGTTGGGGAATTCAGGAAATAAGCTTCAATAAGTTGCTGAGATGGAGAAACACTGCCTTAATCTCTCCATTTGGTTCTTACGTATGCCAGTCTTTCTGTTCATTCTTTTATAACCTTGAGTTACAGCAAGAAACAAAAAGCCCAAATATTCATCATATCACCTTTTTTTACAAGATTAAAAAGTCACTATGACGTGAAGGGCAAATCACAGATTTTTTTGTTCCAATATCAACCTTCCCTTCAAGAGCTGAAATTAAAAATGTCTTCTGTGGAGAGAAATGAATAAGATAATAAGATAAGTAACAATGCAACTTTTCAATGAAAGTTCTACCTTTTGAATAGAGTGCATAGGATAATGATAGTGATAATGATAGCAATAGAATTGGAAGGGACCTTGGAGGTCTTCTAGTCCAACCCCCTGCTCGGCCAGGAAACCCTGCCTATACCATTTCAGACAAATGGTTGCCCAGTCTCTTCTTAAAAACTTCCAGTGTTGGAGCATTCACAATTTTTGAAGGCAAGTTGTTCCACTCATTGATTGATCTAGTTGACAGGAAATTTCTCCTTTTTAGTTCTAGGTTGCTTCTCTCTTGATTAGTTTCCATCCATTGCTTCTTGTCCTGCCTTCAGGTGCTTTGGAGAATAGCTTGACTCTTCTTTGTGGCAGCCCCTCAAATAGTGGAACACTGCTATCATGTCACCCCTAGTCCTTCTTTTCACTAGACTAGACATACCCAATTCCAGCAACCGTTCTTTATATGTTTTAGCCTCCAGTTCCCTAATCATCTTTGTTGCTCTTCTCTGTACTCTTTCTAGGGTCTCAACCTCTTTTTTACACTGTGGTGACCAAAACTGGATGCAGCATTCCAAGTGTGGCCTTACCAAGGCATTGTAAAGTGGTATTAATACTTCACATGATCTTGATTCTATCCCTCTATTAATGCAGCCCAGCACTGTGTTGGCTTTTTTGGCAGCTGCAGCACACTGCTGGCTCATATTTAAGTAATTGTCTACTAGGACTGCAAGATCCCTCTCACAGTTACTACTATTGAGTCAGATGCCACCTATACTATACTTGTGCATTTAGTTTTTCTTGCCTAAATGTAGAACCTTACTTACTATGTTGATTACTTCCTCAGCGCCTGCATATACTAGGGATTAAAATGGGATTAAATTTATGCTAAGTAATTTGTTTGCTAAGTGTTTTTGGAACCTGGTCTTCTCTACCTTAGGTGGAGCCTGGGGAGAGTCAGATTACAGAATGCTGTAGACAAGGTCAGGGAGGAAAGCCCTACAATATTCTGAGATTACAATGCTGAAATCTGGTGGAATTTTGATAACGTGACCTTTGGGCCTTTTTTTTTAGATGTTTTACAAAACCTGAAGACCTCCCAATGTTTGCTGCTATGCTCTCCCAACTGTGCTGGTTTCAAGCTATTATATAGATAGAAGAAGAAGAGTGATCGGCCATCCAGACATGGTCTTCTGTGATTTCCATTTCTAAATTTGTAAAAATGAAAGGAAGGAACGAAGAAAAATCATGCTTGGGGGGGGGGGTGTTCATACATAGTTGACCTACTCCAGGGTCTTCAAACGTGGCCCTTTTATGACTTGTGGACTTCAATTCCCAGAATTCGTCAGCCAACGTGCCTGGCTGAGGAATTCTGGGAATTGAAGTCCACAAGTCATAAAAGGGCCACGTTTGAAGAGCCCTGACCTACTCCTTTCCAGGGATGACCTCATGTTAGTTAATGCCCCTTTGGAAAGTTCAAAATCCTACACCCCCAGCCCTTGAACATTCCCGTTCCTGCTCTAAGAATTGTGTAAAAGATTGGCCATCAAAGACATTTGGATGAAAACTGAAAAGTTGACCTGTTTCAGAATCAGTCGGATTTGTAACAAGCCATGATGGTATCCAAATGTCTACAGTACATCATGATGCAACTTCACACTCATGAAGTCTGACAGGGATATGTAAGTTGCATCTTTTGTCTCATGATGCACATGTTGTATCCTGCCCCTTGTTGCCTCCCCAAAGAGGTTCATGATCAAAATACTGTACAGGTAGTCTGGACTTACAAACATTTGTTTAGTGACCGTTTGAAGTTACTAAGGCATTGTAAAAAGTGACTTACCACCTTTTTTCACACTTATGACCATTGCAGCATCCCCATAGTCATGTGATCAAAATCCAGCCACTTGGCAACTGGCAGGTATTTATGACAGTTGCAGTGTCCTGGGGACATGTGATTACCATTTGTAACCTTCCCAGCTGGCTTCTGACAAGCAAAGTCATTGGGAGAAGCCAGATTTGCTTAAGTGTCCAAGTGATTCACTTAGCAGCTCCAGTAAGTCATGTAACAAATAGTAAAATAAGCCAAAACTCAGTTGTTCTGTCTTGCTTAGCAATGAAAATTTTGGGTTCAATTGTAGTCCTAAGTTGAGGACTACCCGTATGGACACCTGTGAAAAGCATTTCCCTGTGATATAATATGCTACAGTTTTTCAGCTGTGTCTATCAAATAGTCTAATAGTCCCCAAACCCCAATCTGTGGACTGGCTGCTGTCCATGACATGCCAGAAACCAGGCCATGGAAATAAGTGAAGCCCCATCCACAGAATGCAGGCAGCACACAAAACCACCCCCCCCCCCGCTCCACCACGGAACTGGTCCCTGGTGCCCAAAAGTTTGGGGGCCGCTGGTCTTATGCACTGATCAAAATGTGATCTGCAGAACAGTATCTCTCACTTCTGAATACAAATTTGTTCAGTTCTAGTTTATTTTCTTTCGTTAATTTTCAGTATATATTATATAAAGTGAGATCATCAGGTTGCTAGTAGATTTCATTGCATTGACGTCATGCCCAGAAATCAACCTGGAGAACAGGCAGTCCAGTTCAAGAAAGCATTGGTTACGCAGACAGTCTCTGTTCCGTTCTTTTGCTTGCCATGTAAAAAGTCTGTTTGAGCTATCAATGAGAGTGTCTCTCATAGGCTGGCTGTTCACCTGGGCTGGTTGGAAACAGGACCCCAGTGGGGAGGGGACGAGAGTGAAACCAGCAGATAGCTAACGTAGTCTAGGGAAGGGCCTTGCAATACCTGTGGTTTGAGGGTGTGGAGAGAGAGAAGAGTGACATGTAAGACAATCTTGCAAATCTACACCTGTTCCTGCTCACCTGCTAAGAATTCATTGTGGAAGTTGGGGTTGGAGAGTGATGTTGCAAGTCAGCTCCGGATGCACATGGGGCTTTTGTTTCTGACACATAAAGCAGGGACAGCAAAAACTTGTCCAGTTGTGTAACCTGCAGAGCTTTACTACCCTGGAACTCTTACGGGATGGAACAATGCAAATACAGAACGAGGAAAAGCTCATTGAGCAGAAAGCAGCTGAGATTATGTAGGGAAATGTTTTAGGTTCAGTCTTAAGACTGTGATTTTTAAACCATAAAACAGCTTGTTTGTCTTTGGCTTAGCACAGGGGTCTTCAAACTTGGCCTTTTTATGACTTATGGACTTCAACTCCCAGAATTCCTCAACCAGGCACGCTGGTTGAGGAATTCTAGGAGTTGAAGTCCACAAGTCATAAAAGGGCCAAGTTTCAAGACCCCTGGCTTAGTACATGGTGTAAACCAAGTCATTACGGGTTCTAAACCAAGCTTATTGTTGGGCACAATATGGATTATTTAACAAATCAGACTCGCTGTGTGAGTTGGGCAGCTATATAAATTTGTTTAATAAATCATAGTTAACATAAACCATAATTTAAAGTTATGAGTGAAACAGTTTGCAACTGAATGCAAAGCCCATAGCGTCAACATAACTTTGTCTTCATCCTGGCCCCACAATTCATGAGTAATCTTTTGGAGGACCTTGAGATTTGAGGTTACAAACAGGTAGTCCTCAACTCACAGCCATTTGCTTAGTGACCGAAGTTACAGTGACACAAAAAACGTGACTCACGAGCATTTTTCACCCTGACAACCATTGCAGCATCCCCAGGGTCACGTGATCAAAATTCCTATACTTGGCAGCTGTCATGTATTTATGACGGTTGCAGAGTCCCGGTGGTCATGTGATCCCCTTTTGCAACCTTCTGACAAGCAAAGTCAATGGGGAAGCCAGATTCACTTAACAACAGTGTTACTCATTTAAGAACTACAATGATTCACTTAACAACTGTGGCAAGAAAGTTTGTAAAATGGGGCAAAGCTCACTTTACAATTGTCTCATTTAGCAATGGAAATTTGAGGCTCAGTTGTGGGCATAAGTTGAGGATTATCTGTATGTATGTCTGAAGGGAATTACTTCACTGAGATAAATTTTGAGTTGTAACTGGACAACTTGTCCTGTCTAGCAAAACTGCTTCTTGTTATATTCAAGATTGCTTTGCAAGGCAGGTAAAGAGACATGTCTTACCAACTTCCAAAATGAATTTTCCTTTCCCAGTAAAACTCACGAGGTTTATTTATAAGAATTGCTTATTTAATCTGATATTTGTAAGACTACTAAAGCATTGGTAACAATTTGCACAAAGACGACAAAGTGAGAGAAGAAAGAAGCTGGTTCTTTTCATAAACATGCTTGGACAGGTAGTTGTTGATGATCATTGTGTGAAGCCAGAAACCTAGCCTGTGAAATATTGGGCAGAAATCCAGAGTTCAATGTGTAGGTGTAAGAACAGCCTAAAATTGTTCTTCCCCTCTTTTCAAACACAGGTTAATCTACCTTCAAATGTATTGTTGGGGGAATTGGGGCCAAAAAGGAACAGCATTGCAAGACTGTTCCACAGCATCCGTGGCTTGTGCCAGATTGAAATATAATACCTTTGTTGGTATATTTCAAGTATTTGTATCTTGTCTTGGGTGGGGTGGGGGAAATAAAAGCCTCATGAGATGATTCAGTGTTTTTAATAAAACAGACTTAACTGAAATCTTACTTTAGGGCAAAATAATGAAACATTACATCCAGTAAACGTGACACAGCTCTGGTTAAATCAGGAGTGTCCAATCTTGGCAATTTTAAGACCTGTGGACTTCAACTCCCAGAATTCCCCAGCCAGCTATATTATGCTGGCTGGGGAATTCTGGGAGTTGAAGTCCTCATGTCTTAAAATTGCCAAGGTTGGATATATCTGAGTTAAATGGTGAAGGTACGCAAAGCAATTAGTTAGCAGCTGAGCTGTTAGGAGGCATTTTTAACAATCTTGGTGATTTACAACTTAACAAAAGGATGTCTACCCTGTGTCTGTGAATGGTCTTCTAGGTGCTTAACATATTTGCTTCTCACACAGGTTTAAGGTTTAGAAAGGTCCTATGTTTGCAGAGCTGATCCAGCCTATGGTAAGGATTTTCATTGTCACCCAATATAATGGCTTTCTCTTCCTTTCCAGCTGAATTATCTCAGGTGATTAACAGTGGCACACCTTTGTTGAAGCCTTCACCACCTCTGCCTCCCAAGAGAGGCCTCCCGCTGAATGTACCTGCCTTGCTAGAATCAGCTGTTGCTCCCAAATCCCCTACTGAGAGGATCATGTCGTCCTATCCTTCCTCACTACCTCCACACATGATCTCAACTCTCCCTCCAGCTGGTCCTTCGCCCTCTCTGCCTCCTCACATTCCATCAGAACCCCTCAACGCTCCACTGCCTAGCTCCCTCTATGGAGCAGAGCCCCCCTTTTCTGCAGAACTTCGGATGGGGAGTCAACAAGAAAGTCTATCCATGATGGATCCAGCCAGAAGAGTGGCTGAGCGGGGGTTTGGAGAACCTCAAGGACTTCCTCGGTTGTCCCAGCTCCCACTGCACATCCGCATCCAGCAGGCCTTGACTAGCCCTCTGCCAGCAACCCCACCTGCCGAAGGCTCACACAGGGCTCATTCTCTGCTCTTCGAGAGCGAAGGCTCCAGCGAGGATAATGGAACAGTAGGCAGGACAAGGTCTCTACCTGTGACTATCGAGCTGCTGAAAGTGTGAGTCACACTTTGGTTTGCTAGTCAGAAGCCAGGCGTGGTCAGATTGCTCTCGTTTTTTGTCTTTCCTCTCAAGTGTAATTTTTTCTTTTTGTTAAAAATTAGTGACAAGTGCAGATTTAAACCATATCCCGGTAGTCCTCAACTTACGACCACAATTGGGCCCAAAATTTATGTTGCTAAGTGAGAAGTTTCTTAAGTGAGTTTTTCCCCATTTTACGACTTTTCTCACCACATTTGTTAGGTGAATCGCTGCAGGTAATAATAATAATAATAATAATAATAATAATAATAATAATAATAATAAGAAGAAGAAGAAGAAGAAGAAGAAGAAGCTGGAAGGGACCTTGAAGGTCATCTGGTCCAACCCCCTGCTCAGGCAGGAAACCCTTAGTTCTTAGTTTGTTAAGTGAATCTGGCTTCCCCATTGTCTTTGTCTGTCAGAAGGTCGCAAAATGGGACCGATCACGTGACTCCTTGACACTGTAAACGCCATAAATGTGGCTCATTTATCAAACATCCGAATGTAAATCACGTGATCTTGGGGATGCTGCAGTGGTCATAAGTATGAAAAATGGTCACATTTATAACTTTGAACAGTCACTAAATGAACTGTTATAAGTCGAGGACTAGGCTACCTGTCTAGGAATGTTCTCAGTGGAGATACTAAGTATGCTTTGTGAAAAGCCAGCATTAAGGTGACCTTCCCTGAGATCAATTATAGTGTCTGGAAATGATTAATGGTGCAATCCAGCACATGAGAGCAGGAGGGTGGAGAAGGATACCTAAAAGTATTTACAAGTGATTGATTTGTTGGCTGGGGTCATGCAATATACCCAATCCTAAGCTTTGGTAAATAAAAAAAAAACACAATTCAAAAGAAGCCATATATGATGACTAAACAGGATGACCAATTCATATCACGTGCTTAAGGCCAAGGCTGATCCCAGAATAGGCTAAACCACAAACTACCAAATTTAATTTTATCCCGGTCTTCTGCGAATTGAGAATCAAATTGCTATAAATCTAAACTGAAAGAATTCAGCTGTGTAAAGATTGGGAAATAATCATACTGATCTGTTTTGCATTTTAATTTTCGTTGGGACGGCAGACAAACATGGTGTCTCTAGGCAGTTGATATGCTTGTGCAGTACTATACAAGATTGGTTGCAAAATACAACCAAGGCAGTTTTTCACTGAAGATGCATTGTATAGAAAGGAAGAATAGATACCCACCTAAAATGAAATTGCCCTATTGCCCAAATTGAATGAGGTGAAGGGAATGGCTATAATAGACTAGACTGGAATTTGAGAATTCCCAAACACACACATACCCCCAGAGTCATGTATCCAGATGAGGTAGAGATTGTACGTTATAAGCAAATAGAGCCAGAATAAAGTAAACAAAGTTTGTTAACCTGCCCTCAAACCAATACCTGTAATGGTTAGTGAGAGTAACCCCTGTGAAGCAGAAAGAAGAGCTAAAGCCAGGACCCTCCGTAGTTCTTTGGAAAGTAAAGATAAAGAAGGGGAGAAGTACTTTCAGACTTGCAAGATTCTGTTATTGTAACCTTACAATGCCTGTAGTGTTAGTACTTATGGTTTTGGTTTCTTATCTGGAGTACGGTACTTGAAGGGCTGATAATACCACACTTACTTTCTTTTCTCTTGGTAATTTCACTCAGAGAGTGAGGTGGGCAGTACCTAAATGAGATAGATGGTAGGTAGGTAGGTAGGTAGGTAAGTAGATAGATAATAAATCGATTATAGATTAGATAAATGATAAATAGACTATAGATTATGATAGATAGATAGATTAGAATAAGATAGATAGATAGATAGACAGACAGACAGATAGATAGATGATAGACAGACAGACAGACAAACAAATAGATAGGTATAGAATCATTTGCTTGTGGAAAAATATCTCATTACGTTAAGTGAGATAATTTTTCCAGGTCAGATAGCAGACAGTGGGGACTTATCCTAATTGGGTCCTTGGCGGGGGAGTTTTTCTGTGGAGTTCCCAATACATAGGCTGCTCCTATGCCTCCAGTATTAATAGCTGAGAAAGGATCCTTTTCTTTCAGAAGAGAATTAAAAACAAGTAAATGGGCATCTTTGGATTCTCCAAACCATACATTTTCCAATCTATTGCACATCCTTATTGTTGGGATGATAGCTTCTAGAATTCAGGTCAGAACGGCTAAACGAGTTCTGAAATTTATAATATCAGATCATCTTCCTTATAACAGGGAAGGGAAGTGTCCTTATAACATTTTTAATATTACACATCGGTCATGCTTGTGATATATTAGGCTACTGTGCAGGCCATCCACTGGTCCTTTTGCTAGGGTAGTTCTAGAACTATTGATTAATGCCTCATAACAATAGTAGTTATTATATAAGGGGAATAATTGTGTGTCCTTTACTTGATAGTCCAGATGATGAAGAAGAAGAGGAGGAGGAAGATGGCTCAGGAGATGCATGTCCTTCCAATCACCATGTTTACATTGGAGAAGCCCCAATGGTTGCGGTTATTCCTAGGCTGATCCTGCAGACAGTGCAGGATGAAGACGAGGGACCAAGTGATTCGGATTCAGAGGGACCCATTTTGTACAGGGAGGAAGAGGAGGAGGAGGAAGATGAAGACGAAAGCCACAATAGTAAGAGTCTCCTCTTCCCTGCCTTTAAGATCACATGTACTCTACTTATGTCAGAACTACGGACTGGCTAGGAAAAGCAACAAAAAGTATGATTGTAATTGAACATTTTTTTTGCCCCAAATAATATATCAATCAGCCTTAATTCCCTACCACCATGGTGACGAACCTATGGCATGCGTGCCATGCTGGGCCGAGATGCTCCCTCTTCCTCTCCGCGCATGCCCAGCTTTCCGCAGAGCTGCACATGCGCAGCTCTCTGCACATGTGCAGTCTGGGAATAGGCAAGAGGCTATAAAGGGAGCAAGGTTCGGTGGAAGCAGGCACGGAAAGTGAGACAGCAGCCCTATGTGCGTCCCCATGCGCGAGCGTGCCCCTGCCCTGCCAGGCAAGCGGAGCGGCAGCATCTTCGGCAGAAGAATGTAGGCGGGCAGCGGAAGGCACAAGGAGCCCCAATCCCAGCACAGCCCCTCCTCCCCCCTCGGAAGAGCTGTGGGGCTCAGGAGCCTCCCCCCAACCCCCCCCACCCGCTGAGCAAGATGTTCTCCTGCTCACTGCCCCACCCGCCAGAGCAACATCAAGTTGACCACGCCCACAATTTCCATCATAGCCACGCCCACCCAGCACCCGGCGATACATAAGTGGGATTTGGGTTGCAGTTTGAGCACTTGGTCTCTAAAAGGTTCGCCACCATTGCCCTACCACCTGTCATGAATGCAGAACTGGAACAGAATCTAAAGATTTAGGCATAGTTGGATGTAGAGGTAGTCTCCGACTTACAGCCATAATTGAGCCGAAATTTTCTGTCGCTAAGGGAGACATTTGTTAAGTGAGTTTTGCCCCATTTTACAACCTTTCTTGACACAGTTGTTAAGTGAATCACCGCAGTTGATAAGTTAGTAACCTGGTTGTTAAGTGAATCTGGCTTCCCCATTGACTATGCTTGTCAGAAGGTCGCAAAAGGTGATCACATGACCCCGGGACTCTGCAACTGTCATAAATACAAGGCAGTTGCCAAGCGTCTGAATTTTGATCACATGACCATGGGGCAATGATTAGTATGAAAAGCAATCATAAGTCTCCTTTTTCAGTGCTGTTGTAACTTTGAACGGTCACTAAATGTTGTAAGCCAAGGACTCCCTGTATGTTAGTTTCCTTTTTTTTGTACGTGTTTCTCTTATTCTTTTTTTTTTTTTTTTTTTTTTTTTTTTTGTATTTTGGTTTGTACGCACCCAAGACTTTATAGTGCTGGGTGGTTCTCTAAAGTTGATCAAGAAATGCCTCAGTTGCTTTTGACTGTCTTGTGACCATTTGTTGTCTTGTTTTCCCTAGCGGCCCTGGCCAATAAAGTCAAGAGGAAAGACACCTTGGCTATAAAACTGGGAAACCTGGCTCCCCGGCAGGAATTGCCAAGGGAGAGCACTTTCCCTCGGAAGAGCAAGGAAGAGTGGAATGAAATCCGACAGCAGATTGGGACAACGCTAATCAGGTAGGAAGGGCTAAAGTCAGTAAAAGCCGGCATTTGGCTTACTTGCAACACGTTGTTTGGGCATTGTCCTCAAGGATCATGGGAGTACCGATAGAAGAGAATATTTGCAGCTCAAGATTGAACCGTGGGGCTCTCTGAGCTTGGTGATTTGCTTGCAGATATTTCATTACCCAACTAGTGCTGATGATGTTACCGAGTATGGTAATGAAATGTTTGCAAGAAAACCACCAAACTCAGAGAGCACCAAGGACCCCACGATCATGGCTATGTTTGCCATTATGTTGTATATAGTATGTTTAGGTGTGTGTCATGTAAGTGTTTCACTTTGAGAGCGGGCAACTAAATTTCATTTTTGATGTGTGCCGTTGTGCCCACAGTAAAAAAAATGACAACAAAAGTTATCTTATTATCCAGACCATATTCCCCAGTTTTAAAGGTATGCAGCCCTGTTACCCATTTAGATCCTGGCAGTCTTATGAACAGAGCTTTGGTCTACCTGGGTTACTAAGGACATTTATAACAACAACAACAACAACAACAACAACAACAACAACAACAATAATAATAATAGAAAAAGTTGGAAGGGACCTTGGAGGTCATCTAGTCCAACCCCCTGCTCAGGCAGGAAACCCTATACCATTTCAGACAAATGGCTGTCCGGTCTCTTCTTAAAAACTTCCAGTGTTGGAGCATTCACAGCTTCTGGAGGCAGGTTGTTCCACTGTTCCATTTATCTTTAAAGAGTATTATCCATAGGCACCACAATTTTTGCAGAGCCATAAAATTCCCATGGTTGTCTTCAGGGGAAGAGTAGTTCTTTTTTTAAAATAAGATACACGTGCAATCAGAAGTGGGAAATGGTGTCTTAATCTGGACCATGGATTGTAACAAAGTGATTTAGGGAAATCCTGATGTCGATATGCTGTTTAATGTTCTGACATTTTATATATATAGCAACTAGAATAAAGTACTTTCTGTTTGCTTTTCTTTTTGAATTAAGGCTGTTGAATGTTTGCATGAAAGGACTATAAATTCATTTCTGTTGATGTAAGCAAATCAGACTCCAATTCTTAACTTGAAGGGTTTATACTCCACCAGCTATGACTGAGCGACCTTGAGGCTCCAGGGCTTTTTTCCAACAGTTCAGGCACAACTAGAGTATTCCTGGCCCTTTACAGTGTCTTGTATCATTACAGGGGAAAGCTTTCCTTCAAGAAGATAGGATTGTGCAACATTTTGGCTTCAAGAGCAAAAACACAGTTTTGGAACAGGAGGTGGGCTCATGTAACACCTGTCTGGCAGCTCTTACAGCAGCCACACCTTTCCCAGTCATTCTGCAGCTGGGCCCCACAATCCCCATATAAACCTAGAGAAGGCTTCCCCTACATTGATTTTGCTTATTGGAAGCCAGCTGGATTCGAAGAATTGAAAACCATTGCAAGGTTCATGCCCCTACCAGAGGTAGGCAACCTTGGCTCTTTTATGATTTGTGGACTTCTATACCCAGAATTCCTGAACCAGCCATGTTGACTCAGGAATTCTGGGAGTTGAAGTCCACAAGTCATAAAAGAGCCAAGGTTGCCTACCCCCGCCCTACACTTTCCAGAGCATCTTTTTTGCCTTCAAAGCCAAAATACTTCTTTAAAAAGATGGCATTGTTATTATGACTGCTGCGAAGCCTGTTTTTGTGTACTTGCCTTTGCCTAAAACAATGTTTTTCTTTTAAAAAAATAAAAAGGCGATTAAGCCAGAGACCAACAGCAGAAGAATTGGAGCAAAGGAATATACTTCAGCGTAAGTAACGGCAACTCAAGACTTCCCTTATGCTTGTCTACCAGATAGTTAATACTCTTGTTGTACAGATACTTCTCAACTTATGATTGGGATGGGAATTTCCATTGCTAAGCAAAGCAGTTGTTAATTGAATCATGCCTGATTTTATGATGTTTTTTGCCATGGTTGTTAAGCAGATCATTGCAGCTGTTAAGTGAAGCACAGGTCGTGCTTGTTGAAAACCAGCTGGGAAGGTCAGAAATAGTGATTGCTTGACCCTGGGACATCGCAACCCTCATAAGTGCATCCAGGTTGCTAAAGCAACTGAATTTTGATCATGTGACCATGGGGATGCTGCAATGGTCATAAGAACGAGGACTGGTTATAAATCCCTTTTTTCAATGCTGTGGTAATTTTGAACCACTGCTAAACGAATGGTAATAAATGGAGGACAACCTGTACACAGTATAGAAACTGATGGGGAACTTATGATGCATGTCTCATTTTGATAAAGACATCCAGTACCTGCTGAATCCCAACGCCGTTTAGATCAAAAATTTACTGTGACGTTGACTGGGAATAAATGCACATAAATGCATAGCCCATATTTATGTATTATGAAATCTCCCCGACTAAGTTCCTAAAGTGCACAAGACTAGTCTTAGGGAAATCATTTGCTCAACATGTGCACACATACACATCTGAGGCCTTAACTAATCATAGTCCACATGAAACTAACCTGGAAAAAGATTTCAACATCTTGATTTATTTATTTTTCCTCCTCTTCGGCAGCAAAAAATGAGGCTGATCGGCAGGCTGAGAAGAGGGAAATAAAAAGGAGGCTCACTCGAAAGGTATGAGATACTCCAGATGTTCTTCCCGTTTACAGAGCAACCTGTAGGTGGTGACCCTACAGAGAATGTCACCACCTACAGAGGTGTTGCAGGATTTATTCAGCATTTATCCTGAAATGTTCATTCAGAGTACAGTGCTAAGAGCTTTAGACTCTGGCCTGCTGTGGGTCAGGAGGCTATTGCCAAGTCTGTGCTCTAGAAGATGAAAAGAATAGGAAAAATCTCAGGATAAATGGTCTGACTCCGTTCAGAGATGCATTATACATGGCTGGTTAGAGAATTCTGGGAGTTGAAGTCCATACTTCAAGTTGCCAAGGCTGAGAAACACTGCCTTAGCCCAACGCCTGCTTTGAATTTTTTGCAATGATGGGTATACAGTCAGTGTGAGCCCCAAATGGGTATATAAACTGCATTCCCCAAAGTTTCTCTATGTCTTTCCCTTTCTGGCTTTAACCACTTCAAGTATTAGACTTTCAGAACCCTGAAATGAGATTTTGCTCAATATATCTCAGCTTTCCTCAAACTGGTGCCCTCCAGAAAGAAGCATTAGGACTTCAGTTTTTCAAAAATCCCAACCATTTGGTAGTCCCAATAAATCTGAAGGCTGCTGGTTTGAGGAAATGAGACATGCAAAGGCTTATTTTGAAAATTTATCCCTGGAGATTTTAAAGGCCAGAAGGAAATGGAAGTAATTGACACACTTGCCTTATTATTGTAACTGCTATTTGCAGTGTTAGCTTGTCACTGCCGTGTGAGAATGATGGGTTTGGCATACTCATGACTTTCAAGTTAAGCCTTTGCAACCTAGTCTTGCAAAACTATAAGACTTTGCAAAGGACAATTGCACCCAAGCATTTCTGCCTTCCTGTGTTGCTGCCCCTGTGCAATGCCCAGGAAGTGTGACATTACACAGGTATCAAGGCATTGTTAGACTCACTTCCATTTGTGTAGCAGAGTACTGAGTGATGACTTTAGTACGTAGATTTTCTCTCTCTCTCTCTGCCTTTTAGCTTAGCCAAAGGCCTACTGTGGCTGAACTACAGGCCAGAAAGATCCTGAGGTTTCATGAATATGTGGAGGTAACCGATGCCCATGACTATGACAGGAGAGCAGACAAGCCATGGACAAAACTCACTCCTGCTGACAAGGTAAAAGGGCAAAGTAAACGTTAAAATTACGAAGTTAAAAACTCTCTGCTCAGCCTCCCTCTAGTCCTGCTTTTGCCATGTTCACATAATTAAGCCTCCACCTGGCCAGCTTGGTTATTAAATAATTAATTGTTAAAACCTAGAGACTGCCCAACTCCAAACAACACAGGGCAGTTTAAAGTTAAAAAATAAGAAGCACACACACACACACAGTCATAGACACACAAAATGACTATAATAACAAACCTCCAGAAAGAGGTTCAATGCCCACGCTACTCCCAGGCCTGGGAGACCCCCGTCTTCAAAGATGCTTGGAATGCCATCATGGGGAGCCATATAGATTTTTGGGAGGATGGTGTTCCAGAGGGCAAGTGCTGAAATAAGGAAGAGGTGCTTCCTGGGTCCTGCTAGGGGGCCTGGCTTAATCGAAGGAACCCAGAGCACACCTGCTCTACCTGATATCACTGCACGGCCGAAACTTTCAGAAATAGGTGGCCCATTAAATTGCCAGGCCTTTATAGGCGATAACCAGCACCTTGAATGCAGAACCAATTTAATTAATACATGTTCTAGGTTTATACAATTCATTGAACCTTTTCCCTTCCTCCTATCCTTATCCTCATCCTCATCCCCCATCCCCATCATCCTGCCCTGTCCTGCCCTTTTTTCCTTTCTCTTCCCTATTTGTTTCTTTATACTTTTTCCCCATATTAATTTATTTCCCTCACTTTTCCCCTTTAAAATTTGTATTGTTTTTTTTTCTTTTAAAAATTTATTTAATAAAAATTATATACCCCCTCCCATTCATTGATTTTCCAAAATGCTGTATTATGGCTACTAGGTGTATAAGCGATCTAGTTATACTCTTTTGTGAGCACAGGGCTGAACCTTGCTCCACTTCCACTTTTGTCCTCAGCTGACTTTTTTTATTCTCAGGACTGTTTTTAAGATCAGAGCTATTTTTAACAGCCTTTGATGCAATCCTGTCATCCTTTCCTCTAATGAAGCCCAAGCATGCATCAGAGAAAAATATATATATATATATCTTTTCTGTCACCTTTTGTTGTTGTTGTTGTTGTCTTGCAGTTTCCCCCCCTCCATCAGTTTTAGAATATCAACTTTATAAACTCCTGTAAACTATCATCTACACTGGGATGGAGAATCTGAGTCTTCCCAAATATTTATAAATTTATAACTACCCACAACACCAGCGAGCGTAGCCAGTGACAAAGGGTTGGAACTTGGTGTTCAGATAGCAGTATTTGGAGGATCCAAAGCTCTTTATTGTTAATGTATATCTGTGTTGCTACGTTAATATTAATAGCAGGGCTAAATAAAGATTTTTATCCTCTTGCTCACCACTGCTGAGTATCAAGATCCCTTCTCCCCACCGTTTCCTTCTTTTCTTGCTGCATCGCATGACCTTCCCAACCAGCTATCCTCCCACTCCTGCAGACTGATACTTCCTGAGCTAGACCCCAAATGGGGAACTGACTACTAGGGTGACCATAAAAAACTGTGCGTGGGAGGGTGTCTGTGTGTGTGTACACGTAGACACATTCATGTACAGGCAATCCTCGACGTACGGCCACAGTTGATCCTCAAATTTCTGTTGCTTAAGGGAGACAGTTTTTAAGTGAGTTTTGCCCCATCTTATGACCTTTCTTGCCACTGTTGTTAAGCGAATCATTGCAGTTGTTAAGTTAGTCACAAGAGCGTTAAGTGAATCCGGCTTCCCCATGGACTTTTCTGATCATCACGGTGGACTGTTTGGATAGTGTCAAGATGACCATGAAACTGGGAACTGATGGGATTTCTCCGCCTCTTTTATATAGGCTGCCATCCGGAAGGAGCTGAATGAATTCAAGAGCTCGGAGATGGAAGTGCATGAAGAGAGCAAGCAGTTCACTCGGTATGCTAAGAGGCAGTTGCCCAGGTGGACTCTCTCCCCATAGCAGGAGGGTCAGGTTCATGCCACACCATGGGCAGAATTTAGCTTCTGACTTGCTATATCTCCCTTATATTTAGAATAGGTTGTACTTCAGGCTGAGCTGTGGCCATGCAAGCGGCGTAGCCGTAATCAGCACCACCTAGTTTTTGCAGATTTATTTGGAAATAGGCCTGGAAGAGTATTTAAAGTTTCAGGTTTTTGGCATGTGCATTTTGCGGAGAGTCAGCGCCACTTAGAATTGTGAAGGTCTCTTATGGGACACAGAAACTGTGTAGAAGTTGATCTGAATGTTCCCATCTCCAAATCTGGACTATGTAAGAGGCTGCCTGTCCTTGGTTACATCAGCCTTTCCCATTCGATCTAGCAGAGAAGGCATTCTGTGACACCGTCAATTAGCAACCCTATATCTCAGGATATATGCCTTTTCTGCAGTGCCTTGTGGAGCATTCTTCCTCCTGAATGTAGATTAGCTCCATCTGTTTTGATGTTCTGGAAAACCCTCAAGACCTGGTTATAGCCTAGTGGTTAAAAACACCAGGCTAGAAACCAGTAATTGCGAGTTCTAGTCCTGCCTTAAGCATGGAAGCCAACTGGGGACTTTGGGCCAATCATCAGGCGACTGTGAGTTCTAGTCCGTCTTAGACATGAAAGAGGCAGCTGGGTGACTTTGAGATAGTCCCTCTCTCTCAGCAACCTCACAGGATCATTGAACTAGGGAAAATAGGAGGAAAAGGGAGTATCGCATATGTTCACACCTTGGATTATTTATAAAAATAATAAAGGCAGGTTAAAAACATCTAAAGAAAACCCCTCTAGAAATCTTGTAATAACACCTAGGATTGGCAGAGAAGTGCCATTATTATCCTCCTTTTGGCTAGGGTTGATATATTTGTTTTTATAATTTTTATTTTAATCTGGATTTTATCTCTTTATATTGTCTGTTTTTCTATGTGTTATTAAGTGATTGTTGTACCAGGGTTATGTACGTTTTGTAGGATAGATAGATAGATAGATAGGTGGATAGATAATAAATCGATTATAGATTAGATAAATGATAGACTATAGATTAAGATAGATAAATAGATTAGAATAAGATAGATAGATAGATAGATAGATAGATAGATAGATAGATAGATAGATAGATAGATAGATGAGAGTGAGGTGGGCAGTACCTAAATGAGATAGATGGTAGATAGGTAGGTAGGTAGGTAGATAGATAGATGATAGATAATAAATTGATTATAGATTAGATAAACGATAACTAGACTATAGATTAAGATAGATAGATAGATTAGAATAAGATAGATAGATAGATAGATAGATAGATAGATAGATAGATAGATAGATAGATAATTATTTTATTCTTTATACCTGTCTTGCAGATATCATCGGCCTTGAGGATTTAAAAAAAGAAATTAAAAAAAAGAAAAACAGCAAGAAGCACGATCAATCACTGGAGGAGAAGCGAACTAGCCATGTTTATCATTTCCTTTCTCAGAAGTTGAAGAGGAATCTTGAGGCTTGTTTGAGATTAGCCTCGTTCATATAACTAGAAGAAAAGTTTCTCTTCACCAAGAAATGGGCCAGGGATGGGAACGCCCTTGTCCCAAAGTTAGCATTTCATTGAAAGGAAATTTGTCACAAGTGCCACGAGATCACACAGCGGGGCAAGTCACAATCGAAAGCATTATACCTCAGATATATGGCAATACAAACAGATGATGCCCCTTGGTTCCTTGTCTTCTGCCTAATTCTGAACAGTTTAATATCCCTGACTCAAAGGAAAGCGAGACTGTCGGAGCAGACGTGAGAAGCGTGCACATACTTACATTATGCTGTACCCAGAAGAAACTTTTAACTGACACATTACTGGAGATTTGGGAAAGGTGCTTAGGGGCTTTTTTTTTTTTTGAGTTACTAATTTGCAGAATCACTACTGACCAATCATATGTTGTCTAGCAGAAGAATGGTTGAGCTCTAACATGGTATATGCTGCATCTTGGGGGGGGGGGAACATTTTTTTAAAAAAAAATGGAGGGCAAGAAGCTCCCTTCGTCACTCAAATTTGTTATAAAGCTAAGAGACCGAATTTTCTGTGGGGAAGGGATGCACCTTTAGGCCTGTTTAACAGGAACTGCAAAGCCTGAAATGAGTTGCCTTTAAGAAGCAGATTATGTGGAATATACTGTATTTTTGAAAATCGCGGCTTCTTTTTTTTTTAAAGCAACTTCCTGAAATTAATATGGAACTTGCCTTTTCTTAGATTTGTAGCAAAACGTACTGAAACGTAATGTTCTACAAAGGGCTTAAACCCAACTTTTAAGGAAAGAAAAGATGGCATAGCATTAATAGATTTTTATGGAATGGTTCTGAGTGGTATCGCCACATCTGAGATGCATGTCCTATGACGCTGGAGTGAGGAGATGGGGGGGGGGAATCCAAAGGGGGAATTGGGACATGTATTAGATGTTGGTTCTGTGTTTGAGGATTGGTTTGGTGGCACATCTCTTCACACATCTGTAAAAGGTCACACAACATAGAAGCTTATAGATGCATGTAAGCTGGAAGCTGATACTGCTGTGCTTCCTCAAGCTGGAAGAAGACCTTTTTTTTTTTTTTTGCTGCTACTTTTGCAACTACACACCTTTCTTCGAGGATGACCCAGACACAAGAGGAAGGATTCAGATATCTTAAAAACATTGTGCAGTCAGTTGGGTCCAGTCTTCTTGAATAAACCCCTTTTTAGTTCTGACTGATTTCGGTGGCGATTAAGGGCAGTAGGTAGCTTAGCCTGGATCCAGGCTCTTCTTATCTTCTTTCTCTCTAAGAAATGGTCCTCCTGTGGGTGAGTCTGGGGGAATGCAAGGCATGGCAAGCTTGCCTTCACACCCCCTACGCTCATTCCAGCCGATGCCAGTTGCCTTCCTGGTGTTCCTGTGAAGGGAGGAAAATGGGGCCTTGTCTTTGTCAGGAGCAGTTTTTCCTTACAATGTAAGGAGAAAAGATTTTGATGTGGATTGTGGGATAAGTGCCAGTGTACTCTTGTTCTGAGCAATTTTTTTCATGATGTATAAAATCTCTATTAAGGAAATCATTGTGTTGTCTTCCTATCAACAAGATTGTATGAAATAAATTTTTTTTTTAGGAAAAAAACCATCTTCTTGCCTTTCGTTCTGTTTCTTCTTCCCCACCCTAGCGCATATAATTTTTTAATGAGTAACAACAGGGGTGTTTATTTGTAGATTTATTTGAGACTGATTGAGTATCTATCTCTGCAGGTAGATAGGAAATGGGATTATGCATATTTCAATCATTTCTATTGAAATACTTGCAATCTCTGTTTCAATATCCAAGGGCCTTTTTGTGTTCCCAATAATACCCATGTGCTCTGTTTTCGTGTTCTTCAAAACCTCATCATATTCTTAATGAAGTGCCCGATGATTTACGGTAGATGTTAACAAAAAAATCTACAACATTTTAACTGGCTTCTGCAGGCAAGGTTCTTGAAGTTGTGAACATAATTACTTCACTGAATTTGTTAATGAACTACCAAACGCACATTCAAAGGATTGAGGGGTGGGTGGGATTCAAATATGTGAATAACCGGTTCTCTGTGTGGATGCCGCTTCCGGAAGTCCATTCTGGGCCTGGGCAACAAAAAATTAGCTATCGGTTCTGCCGAAGTGGTGCGAACCGGCTGAATCCCACCATTGGAGGGATACAATAGGGTTGGTGTAAAACACAATTGCTTAGTTTAGGCATGATTTATTGCATGAACTTTTTGGTGTATTGTGCTAAATCAATTGTTTCTCAACCGTAGCAACTTCTTGTGTGGATTTCAAATCCCAGAATTCCCAGCACTCTGGGGAATACAGGGAGTTGAAATCCAGACATTTTAAACTTCCAGGGTTGAGAAACACTGCTGTGAATTATGGCTTGTGCTTAATGTATTGCTTGCACATAAAAGGAATACCATGACGAATATATATATGCATGTATTGTGTAAGCCAAACCATTTGGGGCTTAATTTAAAAATTCCATGGTGAAGCCTATGCTCTCACAGTACATTGGGGGATGTTGAAGCTGCTAATTTGATGCTAGCTTCTTACCTACATTTAATTTCTTTTAGATTGGGCATGGCATGGAGCCCTGGACAGGTAGTGATGCGGCCCCAAAAGATTGCAAACTTTTAATGTTGTTATGTGATTTTTTTAACTGATATTTATGTACATTAATTATATATTTTATATGTGGCCCAAGACAATTCCTCTTCACTCAGTGGGGACCAGGCAAGTCAAAAGATTGGACATGTCTGTTTTAAATGGAATGTTGGTAGAAGTAAAAAAAAAAAAAATCAACCAAAATCACTTCCAAGGTGAATATGTTTACTGGTCAGTCTTCAGATATGTTGGTAGAATCTCTTTGAAGTTTCACTCCTTGATCTAAACAGGTCAAGCAATCCATTATCTCTTAACACAGTGGTTCTCAACCTGTGGGTCGGGACCCCATTTGGGGTCGAATTCCATTTCACGGGGGTCGCCAAATGACGCAGTCTGCCATTTCCCCCCCCCCCCTTTTCCTTAGCTGTGCTACTCCCTTTTATTCTATTGGCTTTTGAAAGCCAATAGAATAGACTCTCTTGAATAGAGTCTAATACTATTGGCTTTCAAAAGTCAATAGGAATTGTCCAGGCTGTCTCTGCCCTGCTGAGCCCGCCAAAAGTCCCATTCTGCAAATGAAGGCGAGCTGTCTGGAAGTTTCCACCCCTCCCTGCTGAGCAATTACTAAAAATGTAAGTAAAAGAGGGCCAGGGGTGGGAGGTGGGAGGCTGGCGGGCGCAGGGAGGGTTGCTGGCGCGCATGGGGCCCGGCGGGTGCCTTACCTCCCTTGGGCTGGGCCAGCCAGTGGTTGGCCTGCGCCGTCTCTGCCATTTGCCAGCTACGCCTTGGCTGGCGCAGGGGGCAGCATCATGCATGTGTGGCGCTCCCAGGCAGGGAAAGTCCTCGACTTACGACCGGTTGGGTAGTCCTTGACTTACGACCGGTTGGGGGTCGCGGCATTAAAAAGGTTGAGAACCACTGTCTTAACACTAAAACTTTCAGCCACTTCTAGGAGATAGACAGACAGACAGACAGACAGACAGACAAACAGAGGTGAACAGATAGACAGACCTTTATTGTCATTTTTACTATGGGCACATTGGCACACATTAAAAATAAAATTTATTTGTTTGTTCTCAAAAGTGTATATATATCGGAAAGGTTGGTTTCGGAAGCCAATGCTACTAGTAACAGCTGCAATGAATTCCAGGTCAGCTGGCAAATTGATTTATTGAATACATGAGTTTTTATACAGTTTTACACCATTCTGTAATCTGGAGGCTTAACTTTGTGTATTTGTTATTTGACTTTGGCTGGCATGTTTCACGAAGGCTATTAACGGGTGTAACGTGTCAGCTTCTCTGACTTAAGCTGGTTAAACAGATGTAATTAATTTTACCTCTTTATCTCTAGCCCGTCTAGTCCACAAGTCTTAAAGTTGCCACGGTTGGAGACCCCTGGTCTAGAGCCCGTGGAAAGCTATTTCTGTAAATTAACAGGCTGCATTCATTGTTTTTGCTTTTGCAACAACTAGAGCCACTCAGATGGAACATTATTGCTTTTTCTTTAAACTGAAGCCCAGGCCAGTCTGCTGCAGGCTATTTATCTGATAGCTTCGAGTGAGAGAAAAAAACAAAACAAAATACAGAGATGGTGTTACTTTTTATTTTTTGCTGCTTGAGCAATTTTCTTTGGCTTTTCTATGTCTTGGAAGACTTTTGTTATAAATGGGGCTTTTCCCGGGGATGTGTGTGTGTGCATTTTTGTCCTACAGAATGAAACTATGACTGAATCTGGATGTTCTGCTTTGGATATTACGAAGCCTCCTCCCAGAATGTAACAAGGAAAACAGATAATTCCATAAAGAGGGTGTGTAGTGATGATGATGATGATAATAATAATAATGTTGGAAGGGATCTTGGAGGTCATCTAGTCCAACCCCCATTCAGGCAGGAAACCTTATACCAGGAGTCGGGTATGCTGGCTGAGGAATTCTGGGAGTTGAAGTCCACAAGTCATAAAAGGGCCAAGTTTGAAGACCCCTGCCTTATACCATTTCAGACAAACGTCTGTCCAGTCTCTTCTTTAAAACTCCAGAGTTGGAGCATTCACCTCTTCTGGAGGCAGATTGTCCCACTGGTTAATAGTTCTAATCATCTTAGTGTCTAGATTGAAGTATAGTCCAATACAAAGATAGATTGGGGAAAACCTTATTTTTGAGGTTTGAAAAATAGACCCTTGCATTCTAAAACAATCAAGAAAAAGTACATTATATTCTTCTAGCAATTCGATAGAAAATCTGAGAAAAACTAGAGGGAAACATCCTTTCTTGTTAGGAGGGCTGCTAGCCTTTGGTCAGTAGGGGGCATGCTTGCAATCGCAGCGTTTCCGCCTTGTTTTCTCTGGGAATCTCGTTTCATCTTCGAGATTTTGGGCTCATCCCCGTCCGGATAATCCCCTGCCACTACTTCGCGCATGCGTATTGTTGCTCAAAGAGATGTCCTTTGTAGAAAACGTGCGGTTTCCAATTGCGCGCAGTGGCATTTTCCGTCTGGCAAGCAATAAAGCAATAAACAAGACAGCTTCAAGGAATGAAAACCGATGCAGGAGGACGCAAGCCTCTCCTGCTTGGGTGGCTTTGGCTATTATATTTTGTCCCGCTGCCTTGAGGCGCCGCATGAGAACCGGAAGCGAAGGTTGCGTGAAACAGTCCATCGAATCTCATTGGCTTTCAATTGATCACCTTCCGTAGGATTTCTCCGGCGCATGCGATATTTGCTTTTCCCGGCATCCTCAGCGAACTATAAGTATGAGCGTCGGCGCTTTCTCCAGCATGAGGACGGAGAATCCGCGAATGAGTTTTGGTCGTCTTCCTGCCCAATTAGACTAAGTCTGACAAAGTAGCCACGCCTCCTGCTGTGTCCTCCATTTCCCAGACACGACTTAGTGTGCAGCCCATCAGGGCACGATTGTGTTGGCTCCTTTATCAGACTTCTGGGCAGGTTGTATAAATTTCCTTTTTCCCTTCGTGGATTCTTCATCTCGTTTTCAGCGCTGGGATCAGTGCTGACTCAATTGCCCATTAATTAGCCTTTCCCCCTTTTAGCTAAAACAAAAAAAATCAATTCATCAGCTATTTGGACAATTCCTAAACAAAAATCAGTCAAGGGATCGTGGGCTCAACGTTCCCGCAAGAAACGGAGAGTTCTTGTTTACTCAGTCGCGGACCTGACAAGCAAGCGCTGGCTGCAAATCAGCTGTGAATTGAGCTACCGCTGCGGGCTTGTTGTTCGGCACAGCTTGCGAGCCCCAGGGATCTCTCTTTCATTGTTTAACCTTGTAGGGGAACAGGAGGAAGGACAGAGGGTCACAGCTGAGCCTCAGACCCAAGAACTCCCCTGCGCTCCCGGTTTCGGCGCGCGGCCGCCATTTTGGACACGGGGCCGGCGCAGCCTGGCAAGTTTAAACTTGCCGTTTTCCAGGCAGCAAGAGATCATTAAATCCAGCAACAGGGAAACTAGCCTTAGATCCATGGGAGGCTCACCAGCTGAGCCTCGGACACAAGGACCCCTTTGTTCTCGGATCAGCTTGGGGCCGCCATTTTGAAAACGCGGCAGCACAGACTCGTCCCTTTTCAAATTTGCCGCCTCGGCTGGAAGCCAGCTGATCGCCTAGCTCCAACACAGAGGCACTAGATTCCCCTTTAAATAGAATTGATTCAACCATCCAGCATCATGAACGATTACTGATGACAATATGCAACATTAATTATTTGAGTACACCATTATTAATCAGGTGATTAATTAAAATAAATAAATATTAATTAAACTAAATTTAGTGGATTAATTAATCAGAGCTAATCAGGTAAGCAATGAATTAGATCATCTGCTGCTAATAACAGCGACCTGGTGTCGGCGCTCGCCATATTAGTGGTTTTGGCCGCCCCGTCTGCCAAATCAGTGCGCTCTCAGGCATTACAGAAGGCCATCTGGAGCAGTTGGTGTGAGAGACCCACCGGTCCAGCGTCCACCACTGTGTAGAGCAGTTACTGGCCCTGCCAGTACCTGGGTTCAAATCCATACCCAGCGCTCGGCTCCCAGACCTCAGGGATGATGGCAGACAGTGCGGTACAGGAAGCGCCCGGCACCCCCGTTCTTTGGCACGTGGTGGAAGGAGGTGCGTGAAACAGTCCATCGAATCTCATTGGCTTTCGATTGATCACCTTCCGTAGAATTTCTCCGGCGCATGCGATATTTGCTTTTCCCGGCATCCTCAGCGAACTATAAATAGGAGCGTCGGGGCGTTTTCGTTCTTTCTTTGGCACGTGGTGGAAGGTGGTGAGTCTAGGTCAGTGGTAGCTCTGGCTAAATAGGGCGGTTGTGGCAGTGGCTTACTTGATGTTTTAGTAACAAAAAACATTAATTAGTGTTGCACGTTCAGATTTATTAATGTATTTATTAACTTTATCTCCCGACCCATAGCGGTTCTGGGCGGCTTTAGATATTAGTGCATCAATAGCAACAATTGCAGTGGCCGTTAGAAATTGCATAAAGAAGACTTGACCTTATAAGAGAAATCGTTTATTTTTAATCAAGGTAATTTAAAGGAGTGTTTTGAAAAAGGGCAAAGTGAATCTTACACAGATTTATGCACTTCAGCCTTTGTCTGCCCATCCCCGAATTATTATTAAAAGATATTCCCCCCCCCTTCCCGTGCAGAAGTGATGCAAAATAGATGATTGTCTGTTGAATATTTATTTTATTTGAATTGGCTCTAAGTCTTTTTAGAGGGAATAAAGGAAGGTTCTGTGAAGAATTATTCGAAATACAGTCGGGTTGGGAATAGGGAAAGTTTACTGTTTATTGAAGCTTCAGTAATCTACCTAATTAATTAATGGTGACCTTAAAGTGAGTTGGGTTATTTTCTTCACTCGTGTGCCTCCTTGATAAAGAGAATAGTTCCTTTATTCTGAAAGTTTGCTTGAAGTTGAGCTTTAATGTGCTCAGAAGTTTTAGTAGTTAAGCATTCATGTGCATGGCTGGATCATGGGTTATGTTGAATTGTGACTTTTTGAGTCATTATTTATAGAATCAGTTATAATTGTCTCTAGGTGTGCACATTTTAAGCATATACTATAGTTCCCAAAGCTGCATGGCTGTATCTAAATGTGTTATGACATTGTTTCCAGAATCATTTCTAGTACTATGTGCATTGCTTGGCACCAATGCTAGTTGTATTCATTTCTAATGTAAGTTTTATTGCAGGCAAGAACCTTATTGGTTCCTGTTTGATGCTCCTGAAAATGCCCCTTAACTCAAAGATGAACACTTCGAAGCACAAAGGTATTAATAAACTTTCCCTTTTTATTTTTTAAGTTTTGATGCACAGCTTTTAAACTCAGCAATTCTGCTTATTTTTTTGAAAAAAATTTCAATTAGATTTGCTCAGAGTTAATGTACTTGTGTATGAATAATTAAGCAGCAATATAGTTTCGATTAACTAATGTAGGCATTGGAAGAAGACCAAGATTTAAGTCGTTCTAACAGATATTGCTTGATTACAATTCTGTTTTTTACAGTATAGCCATGGTTATCCCTAAAATGTGTAATATTGAGGTATTTTGAGTCATTAAAAAGGGAAGAAATAGGAAATTTTTTAGGTTATCCAGATTGTAAAGCTTAATTAAGATAAATGTATCTTCCTTAGTTTAGGAGCAAGGGCATTCTTCCCTTGAATAAATAATTGCCCATAGTTCTAATTAAATTCATGTAAATGTAGGGATGTATTCAACATGATTGGTTCCAACAAGGATACCTGGAGAGATGGCACTCTCTCATCTCTGTCCCTGTGGCGTATGGGAGCGTAGGCTTCTGTCCTATGACGTATGGTCCCCTTCCACACTGTTGGAGAACAAATTGGATCTTCCATGTCCGCAGCCTGCATATTCCTACTGCTTCTCTGAGTCTTTGGGCTGTGACAGAGGAGATAAACCATGCAGGAAACATACTTGATAAAGCAAAAATGGCTTTCCAAGCAAACACAAACATGTCTGGCTACATTACTTTTGGGATACTTGGAATTTTGTGTATGTACTCTGATGTGGTTGTGGGGTAGGTGTTGGTTGGAATTCCCTTGAAGAATGGTGGTATAAAAGAAATTGGGGGAAAAGTACAGACCTGTTGCAGTTAAACCTTTGTCACCCACTCTGCTTTCTTTTCCATGCAGGCAGCCTTCAGGTTTGGTTGAACTTTGCTAATGATGGAACATCCTGTCCATCCTATGGCACTTGATAACATCCCCCTATTTGCCATTCTGACCATTTTCAGATCATGGACAATGTTTGATGCTGTGAATATAATCTGGTTCAAAAGCAGAAGGTATGGGCTTTCCTGGGCTCTTTTAGATGTACACAGGCAGTTTGGCATCCCTTGGGGGTCTATAGGTAACAAGAGGTCACTGTTAACATACATTTTCAGCAATAGAACTTTAGCTCTATATTGTTTTCTTAAGTGTCATAGCAGGCCTCTAGCATGAATTGCCTGATCTTTTATTTCAGGTGTGTTGAAAGACTTTAACCAGGAACAAGCCTACAACATAGGCATAGGCTTGCACACCTACATCCTTGCTCCAATACTTAAAACCAAAAAGGGTATGATCTACGGTGCCTTAGATTTGACTGTATCATCCCTTGCTATTCTTGCTGGGAATTCTGATGTAACAATCTGGATCAGTGCCATGTTTTTCTCCTATTAGATTCTTGCAAGTTCTGTAACTGAAGTTGCTTTTGTTGGAAATGTCTACTTGAAATAGCACATGGGGCTTCCCAAAATGCTGATTTCTAGGTGGAGAGGTGACTTTTTAAGACACTGTTGGCCTCCTATTTCTTTTCAGTTTTATCTTGAGCTACAATTATGTGAAATCATGAAGATTAGCCACACTTCCAGCAATGCAGCAATTTGTGGTTCACATAATCCAGCGGGGACACCTGGAGAGGTTGTGCTCTCTCAGCTCTGTCCATGTGGCGTATGGGAGTGTAGGCCTTCAGGCTCTATGACATACGGTCCCTTTCCACACTGCTGGAAAGCAAGTTGGACCTCCGTGGTCTGCAGCCTGCATATTCCTATTGCTTCTCTGAGTCTCTGGACTGTGACAGAGGAGATAAACCATGCAGGAGACATTCTGCTTGCATCCTTAGTGCCTGTCATTTCTGCATATTCAGATGGAACTTTCAAAAAACCGTGAAGGAGACACAGACTTTATAGCTCAACCAGGAATGTAGCAAGAGCCACAGATTGAAGATGTTAACATATTTTGTGTTTCTGATTCTGTATTTCAGCAGGCTTGAAAGCCCAGTCAGGAAGATGGCAGTGGCAGCTCATTTTTGAAATGTGTGGGAGAACTATTTTGAGACCCTCCCCCCCCCAGGTAGTTGTGTGATTTTTTTTTTCTCCTGTGTCTCGTTCACATTGTAACCAGCATTTGAGGGGTGGTGGTCTTCAAGGATGTCTAGTAAAAGTTTTTTTCCTCTGCTTATGATCAGAATACAGGTCGTCTGGTTAGTTCTCAACTTATGACACAAAGGGACCAGCATTTCTATTGCTAAATAAGTTTAAATGAGTCGTCCTGCTTCTATTTTTGGCCACATTTGTTAAGAGAATCACTGGTTAAACAAATCCAACTTCCCCTCTCATTGACTTGGCTTGTTCAAAGCATGCTGGTTGCCAAGCACCTGAATTTTTGTCATACGACTTTAGGGATGCTGCAACAGTTGTAACTGAGGACATGAATCATCTTTTTCATTGCTCTTATAACTTTGAACAGTCATTAAACACATGGTTGTAAATGGAGGACTCTGTATATTGCTCCATTGCCCCCCTCTTGGAGAAATGACAGTGGGCTCTGATGTATTCCCCCAACAGGGACACCTGAAGAGGTTTCTCTCTCAGTTCTGTCCATGTGGCGTATGGGAGTGTAGGCCTTCGGGCTCCATGACATACGGTCCCCTTCCACACTGTTGGAGAGCAAGTTGGATCTCCGTGGTCTGCAGCCTGCATATTCCTACTGCTTCTCTGAGTCTCTGGACTGTGACAGAGGAGATAAACCATGCAGGAGACATTCTGCTTACGGTACATCCTTAATGCCTGTCAGTTGTGCATATTCAAATGGAATCTTCAAAAAACCGTGAAGGAGACACAAATTTTATAGCCCAACCAGGAATGTAGCAAGAGCCACAGATTGAAGATGTTAACATATTTTGTGTTTCTGATTCTGTATTTCAGCAGGCTTGAAAGCCCAACCAGGAAGATGGCAATGGCAGCTCATTCTTGAAATGTGTGGAGAAATATTTTGGGACACCCCCCCCCCCAGGTAGTTGTGTGATTTTTTTTTTTTCATCCTGTGTCTCGTTCACATTGTAACCAGCATTTGAGGGGTGGTGGTCTTCAAGGATGTCTAGTGAAAGCTTTTTTTCCTCTGCTTATGATCAGAATACAGGTAGTCTGACAGTTCTCAACTTACGACACAAAGGGACCACGTTTGTTAAGAGAATCACTGGTTAAAACGAATCCAACTTCCCCTCTCATTGACTTGGCTTGTCCAAAGCCAGCTGGGAAGATTGTAGAAGGTGATCACATGATAATGCAACCATTATAAATGCATGCTGGTTGCCAAGCACCTGAATTTTTGTGGTAAGACTTTAGGGATGCTGCAACAGTTGTAACTGAGGACATGAATCATTTTTTTTCATTGCTGTTATAACTTTGAACAGTCATTAAACACATGGTTGTAAATCGAGGACTATCTGTATATTGCTCCATTGCCCCCCTCTTGGAGAAATGACAGTGGGCTCTGATGTATTCCCCCAACAGGGACACCTGGAGAGGTTTCTCTCTCAGCTCTGTCCATGTGGCATATGGGAGTGTAGGCCTTCGGGCTCCATGACATACGGTCCCCTTCCACACTGTTGGAGAGCAAGTTGGATCTCTGGTCTGCAGCCTGCATATTCCTACTGCTTCTCTGAGTCTCTGGACTGTGACAGAGGAGATAAACCATGCAGGAGACATTCTGCTTGCTTCCTTTCCTTGTTCTATGCTTGGGATATCCAGCCTTGGCCATGTTTTAAGACTTGTGGGCTTCAAGTCCCAGAATCTAGGAGTTAAAAGTCTGTAAGTTTTAAAAGTAGCCAAGTGGTAATGTTTCTGGGGTTTCTGGGAGTTGACATTCATCGTTCTTAAAATTGTCAAGGTCGAACACTCTTACTCTATGCTTCACTTCATGTTTTTTTTTTCTTAATATGGGCTTTCTGGATTTTGAACTGGAGAACCTAATTTACAGTTCCTTGCATGTTTTCATAAAATGAAAACAAATGTTAGAATTTTATTTATAAGTTGTCTCAAGTTGTCCAACCAACTCTAGATGAAGTACAATATTTACTGAAAACAGCAATAGACCACAAAATTATATAAATGTATTAGTTAATTGGGATCATATTTTGCATGACCTTTAAGATGAAATTCCTGCTTTTAGTTAATGCAGCTGTTCCCAACCTTTTCTATACCTGTGCCCCTAGAACGCTTCTGATGTATTCTCGCACCCCTTACAAAAGTTTGAAAGAATGGCAACGAATTAAACATGTACACTATAATTTTGAAACTTCTAAACCCAAGTTTTCGCACCCCTCCCCCCTTGAATATCATCTTGTACCCCCGGTTGGGAACCCCTGAGTTAATGGATATTTTTCTGCTGAATTGAATTACTGAGATCTGTAGCTATCAAAAATCTAGTTCCAGACTCTTAAAATATGCTCATTTTTGTTTGCTTTTCCTTGTCAGGTTATTTTAAAAGAAAATACTGAAAGCATGAATTGTTCTCAGTATTGCTGAGGAAGAGAAACTACTTGGACAAGCTTGGAGAAATAAAAGTGTTAGATGAAGCTGCATCCGATAGAAGGCCGGCAGTAATGAACCAGCCAGAGCACAGAACAACTCAAAGCAATGCAAGATTGGAAGTTGAGGAGAGACCTGGCCCATAGAATGGCCAAGAGTTAGACACAGCTGAATGGATAACATCATCAATTTTTATGCAGCGCAGACTACAGCAGCAATTATAGTGCGGGTTATAGAACAAAACTGCATCTGCGATTAAACAGTACAAACTTGAGTTATTTGATTTTTCTTAGCTTGCTGTGAGAACTTTATTTTGTAAATAATGTAAGCAATAGTGGCAAATATCTGTAGCTTGGGTGTAGGATGAGGGTGAAGGTTCAATTAGGGCAGGGCTCTGCAACCTTGACAACTTTCAAGACTTTTGGAGTTCAGCTGAAGTCCACAAGTCTTAAAGTTGTCAAGGTTGCAGAGCCCTAGTTTAGGGGATCTCTAAACACTGCTGAAGAGGTTACCTAGTCTGGTAACGAAATGTTCGGAAAGCAACCCACGAGCTCAGAGAACGAACCTTCACCCTCATCATGACATCTATGAACCTACTAATTTGAATCCAGACAAGCTGTGCTTTAACAAACCCTGCTTAGCCAAATTTTGGAGATTCTGCTCGATGCGACTGCCGTGGCTGGGGGGGGATCTTAGCTGAACAAAAAGTGTTAAGAGGAACATAATCCTGAATTCCTCTTCCTTTGTCAGTTCTTTTTATATATTACTGATACTTGATGGGTGTTTTTGTTTTCCCCTCTTAACATTGGTTTATGGCTTTGTAAACCTTTATACATTTACAAAGAAATGTATGTATTAAAGACCAGTACCGTTCATTTTATATGCAAGTCTTCATGTTATTGATTACTTAAGCTATAATTCGTTTTAACACCAATAGTTCTTTCATGTTTTATCATGATCACTGACTTGGCCAAAGTTGAGAATTTATTACCCCAACTTACATGGTACATTTCTGTACATTCTGAGCAACTTGCAGTATTTGAATCAAGGTTAAAACAAAAATTGATCAACTGCATCTTTGCCACCTGATGGGGCACCATTTGAAATAGCCTATTACTGCTCGAAGTGTCATATGTTATAGTTAGCAATCTTTAGTTCGCTTTTTGAGAGAAGCTGGAAGTTCACCTATTAATGGATACTTCAGTTGATATTTTCCTGGCTTGCCACTTAGCATTTGAAACTTTCCTGATCCAGCTGCTTCAAAGGTGCTCTGAAACTTCTTATGCTTCCTCCGTAAAAACAGTGAGCAAAGTGCACAATCTTTTTAAGAATGAGGAAGTGAATTTTTGGAAGTGATAGGATCTGATTAATTGTATTTTTAGCCTACTCTTCAGCAAAGAATTATAAACAAGATTCCTAAGCTTTTTTTTCCCCTGGTGTAGTAACCCTCTAAGATAAGGTGATAGCACCAAATTGTGAAAGATGTTTTTGTGCAATACCAGTTTTCCAAAAACTACTTGTCACATCACCCTTGTATCTATTCAAATACCAATTGCAATTTATGAGTTAGGCCGCAGACTCTGGAATGTGATTTTTCAAGCTTGCACCTGCACATCCAACGAATTTGCAAGTTTCCAAGACCACGGCCAATTAAGTGTGGTTAACTGGGAGATGGGGAGTTCTAGTCCTGCCTTTGAAAACAGGTCAGCTGGATGACCTTGGGCCTCACCCTTTCAACCCTAACAAGCAGGGAATGCAAACCATTTCTGGAAAACCAATAAAATTGCAGGGATTTGTCCAAGCTGTGCCTGAGAATTGCACCCAACTGAGCAAAAAAAGGTCCCAAGTACTTTTAAGGGCTGATAAATTATCAACAAGTACCTTTGAAGTACCAGATTATGAGCTCAGTTTTCATCTGACCCAGTGAAGTGTTTTTCCCTTTTTTTTGTCTAGAGAAAATTAAACTGGCAAAAAAAAGCTTGTAAAGGATTACTGCACAGGTAGTTTAAGGTGGTAAAAGCTTGTAGAGCCTTGGCAGTTTATACTAGAATGCTAATTACAACTGATAAAATTAGAACAGGGGTCTTCTTCAAACTTGGCAGCTTTAAGACTTGTGTGGCCTTCCAACTTCCAGAATTCCTCACCTAGCCCTGGAAGCTGAAGTCCACAAGTCTTAAAAGTTGCCAAGTTTGAAGACCCCTGAATTAGAACTTGCAAGCAGGTTTTGAATTGCCTAGAAGCAAGAGGCTTCTGGATGGACACGGATTGCGCTGATAGGAAAGGCAAAGCAGAGCTATGTTGCAACGGCTACCGAAACTGAAGGCGCGGTGGCAAAGTGGCTGTCTTTACACCGTACGTTTTTCCTGAGTATCATACTAGCCAGGATCTAGTTTTGCCCAATAGATTGAAGATACAGATGAGCCCAACACGCTAAGCCACAGGGTAACCAGCTTTTGCCAGCCCATACCTGTGTGCGAACGCAGCCAGATTTGCAACCGACCGGGGTTAATCCGTGTGTAAATCCGTTGCAGCTGGCCAACAAGTTGCTTATGAATAGCTTTCGGGAAGCCCCTTTTATCCAAAGTAAAGAAACCTTGATTTGCAAAGAAATATAAAGAATCAATAGAAGCGTCACCTCCGAACACTTTTCGGGAGGTTTCACACTGTAGAGGGCGCTTCTCCTCTTTCCCGGCCAATGTGGCCTCTGCGCCCAGTGCGCATGCGCCTCCGGATCAGGCCGGGGAAAGGGGAGGGGGGAAGTGGAGAAAGCGAGCGAGAGAGAGAAAGCGAGGCAGAGAACCTTGGCCAGACTCAGAAGGGGGGGTGGCGAATAGGTAAAGAACGAGGTGAGTTGACCGGGGAGGACGGCGTAGCGAGGGGAGCGGGGGAATCACGGCAGGCAAGAGTTAACCCGGCCCGCGGAGGGGGGCTGGTAATATTTTTTCCCCTTCCCTTCGCCCCCCCATCCCAAGATTGCCGATCGCTCAAGTTACAAAAGGGCCCCGTCCCGGCCCACGTGGTTTGGGGAAGGTGCTGCCGGCGAACGTTCTGAGGATGGAACGCCAAGTAACAACTTTGCGTTCTAATTGGAGGGGGAGGGGGAGAGGGGGAGTGAACGCGCTCCGGGGAAGGAAAAGGGGCCGCCGCGGCTGAGTCCGGCGCGTGGGGGACCGCTTGCCCGCCCTCCGCCCTCTCCTTCCTTCCTTCTTTCCCGGGAAGGGAGGTCCAGGCGGGAAATTCAAAATGCAGGCGGCTTTCTTGACAGTTAAGGGGAAGCGGAGGGGGGGGGGGAATAAAAGCAATTCCATATGGTCGAGAACAGACTTTGAAAGTGTTCCTGTTTTATTCTTTATTTTATAGTAAGAATGAGTGGAAAGCCGGGCAGGCTAATCTGGTAGGCTTTTATTTTCCTTTTCGGACTCCGTATTCCTGTGTGCGAATTTCAACTCCCAGAATTCAACCTGGCTTGAAGTTGCCAAGTACAGAGCAGGGCTGTCCAAACTCGGCAGCTTTAAAACTTGAGAACTTCAACTTCCAGAATTTCTCAGCCAGTCATGCTGGCTGGGGAATTCTGGGAGTTGAAATCTGCAAGTCTGAAAATTGCCCAGCTTGGAGACCCCTGCTTTAGAGGTGTTGGTCTGGGGCTCCTATGACTCCCATAGAGCAGAGATCCTCAAATTCTTCAGCTCGTGGACCCCTCAGGAAGTTTCAGATTGTTCATCAAACATCCCCGCCCCCTTTATTATACGAGGATGGTTTAATAAATGCTGTTTTAACTACTGATATTGCTATCACTAATAATAGCACCAACCTCTTGGATAGTCCCATTGATCCTTTGGGGTTGATGTTGACCGCTTTGGGGAAGCCTGCCATAGCGGATTGGAACAATGGGCCTGTCTACCTGGGAGTCTGTCAGGTTAACAAACGCTGATGGAGACTAATGGGCCAATGGATCCAGTGGGGTTTATTCCCAGCTAAACCACAACCTGGATCCATAGCCTCGGAGATAATGCTAGACTCTCTGCCTGATGGAATGTTCTCATCTCTACTTGATTGTTAGATTAATAGCTTTTTCAAGAGTGGTGGGATCTGCTTGTCCTTGAATGTTGTCTAAAGATATACAGGTAATCCTTGACTTATAACCACAGTTGAGACCAGAATACTAACTAAGTAGCAAAGTATGTGCTTTCCCTACAGACTTTTCACATAGAAGTATCTGTGTAAAAGAGAAAACAGTGTAACTTAATGACTTTTGTGTTGAGAGTTGGGTCCAACTCTTTATATATAAGGTAAAGGTTTATCCTATCCAGCTGTGTCCAACTCTAGGGGGCAATGCTCTTCTCCGTTTCTTAGCTGAGGGAGCCAGCGTTGTCCAAAGACACTTGTGCGCTCATGTGGCCAGCATGGCTATACACTAAAGACTGCTGTTACCTTCCCACCGAAGTGTTACCTGCTTGCTTGCTTTCAAATTGCTAGGTGGGAAGGAGCTGGGGCAAGTAACGGGCTCATCTTGTTATGAAGCACTCCGGTCTTGAACCTGGGTTGAGCTGACAAGCTCAGCACCTTTAGCCATTGAGCCATTGCGTGCCCCCCCTCCCTTTATTCTTCTATGGATCCCTTTATATAGTCTCAGCTATTTTTTATGCTTGAGCGTAGCCTCCCTAAGAGGATAAAATTGACAATGTGAAAATGATGGGTCCTTCGCTCCTTGAAGATGGGTGATGTAATCATGATAAAGAATGGGAAGAACTTGTCCATCCAGAACAGTGGTTCTCAACCTTTCTAATGCCGCAACCCCATAATACAGTTCCCCATGTTGTGGTGACCCCCAACCACTTATACATCACTGGGTGCCAGGGGTGTGGCCAAAGAAAAGGGGAAAAAAATGGCGGACAGCCTTGTTTGGCGACCCCCGTGAAATGGTTCGACCCCAAATGGGGTCCCGACCCACAGGTTGAGAACCACTGATCCAGAAGGACATCCCTTCAATTAACTAGACCAGCCATCCCTTTAATAAGAAGGGTGAGGGGAACATTGCAGTCCTTCCCAAGAACATAAACTGCACACTGTAAAATTGTAGCCATGTTTATCAGCCAAAGATTACACTGTGGTGTCCCACAGGAAAAAGTTATCTTTGCTACAGCAAAGATGACCTGGAGAAGAGAGATTAAGAAAGTTTGGCCTCTTAGCCAAAGTTTGGTACATTTGCAGTTGATTCATTTTGTAGATAGAGAATATCTTTATTTCTTTCCTGGCAGATGAATCTCGACAACTGTGACAGGTGGAACTCAAGGCGAGAATAAATTCTTTCTCCAGGGCCCATTACTCTCTTGATTCCAGTATGGAATTGGAATTGAATTTTTTTTACAAAGCTTATTTGTGAACTAGACATTCACAAGACTGAAGTCAGTCTTGCTCTCACATCAAAAGTGACCCAAAGTAGATCAAGCCAAATTCTTGCTGTTCCTCTAAGTCAGTTAATGGTTCATAGATCCGTTCGTAGATTTGGGAGTGTGAGACTAGGCCTAAGCTGCTATACCTAAAGAGGAAGTAAGCAGGATAGACAAAAGCCAGGAAAAACTCTCTTAGAGAAAATAGTTAAGAAGGAACCAAGTCCTTAATGAAAGAAAGGAAAAAAGGGCACTTGAATCAGACAAAAGAAATTGGGCCTGAGCATATGGGAAGCCCCTCCCCAAGTCCCATCAACAGCAAGGACTTTGGAGGAGAAAAGGATCCTGAAGCTCCGGTTGAAAGTGATTTGAGCGTGGAAATTTACCAGGGCTGTGAGTGTGAGGCCGAACCTGAGAACACATGTGTAACAGCATGAGTTGATTGTAAGCATTTCTGAATAACATTCTGATCTTTCTTTTGTTTTAATTTATGATTTTAAGAGTCCACGAGTTTTCCAAGCATAGCCAATTTCTCGAGAGGACTGAACAGGTGGCCCTAAGGCAGCGGCACACTCTGGTTGTGAGTGTAAGTAACAATGCTTTACTATATTCGAGGATTCTTTGCGGATAGTCTCAGGAGATGTAAAACAAGGGAAGCCTTTGTCTACTAAAATTGCTTCTGTCCCTGAACAATTTCAGTGTTAAGGCACTGTGGCCGTGTTTCTTCCTCTTTACACATGCAGGGTGCACCATCTTCAGAGTCACTTCATGAGTGAAATGGGCAACATATAAATTTAATAAATAAATTGTAAACAGTCAGAATCCAGGAAAATATGCTTTCTCGGTCATGGTACCTGTCCTCTGGAGTAAGGCCCCCCCTGAGAGCCAGATGGCTCCCACCCTCATGGTGTTTTGGAAGGCTTTTGTGAACCCTTTGAGGTAGTCCAGACAAGAAATCCCAACCCTGAATTTAGGTAATCCTTGACTTATAACTATTCATTTAGTGACCATTCAAAGTTACAATGGCACTAAAAAGTGACTTATGACCATTTTCAGTTATTTATTTATTTATTTTATTTTATTTATTTATGAGACTTATATACCGCTTTTAAGTACAAGCACTCTCTAAGCGGTGTACACCAGTAAACAATGTATATATATATTTACATTGCCCCCAACAATCTGGGTCCTCATTTTACCTACCTCGGAAGGATGGAAGGCTGAGTCAACCTTGAGCCGGTGAGATTTGAACCGCTGACCTGCTGAACACAGTCAGCTAAAGTGGCCTGCAGTACTGCACTCTAACTGCTGCGCCACCTCCGCCTGGTTATGTGATCAAAATTCAGACGCTTGGCAACTGACTCGTATTTATGACGGTTGCAGTGTCCCGGGGTCATGAGCCGAGGTGGCGCAGCAGTTAGGGTGCAGTACTGCAGGCCACTTTAGCTGACTGTGTTCAGCAGGTCAGCGGTTCAAATCTCACCGGCTCAAGGTTGACTCAGCCTTCCATCCTTCCGAGGTAGGTAAAATGAGGACCCAGATTGTTGGGGGCAATGTAAATATATATACATTGCTTACTGGTGTACACCGCTTAGAGAGTGCTTGCACTTAAAGCAGTATATAAGTCTCAAAAATAAATAAATAAATGTGATCCCCTTTTGTGACCTGACCAGCAAAGTCAATGGGGAAGCCAGATTCACTTAACAACTGTGTTATTAACTTAACAACTGCAGTGATTCACTTAACAACTGTGGCAGGGAAAGTTGTAAAATGGGGCAAAAGCCACTTAACAGCTGTCTTAGCAACAGAAATGTTAGGCTTAATCGTGGTCATAAGTCAAGGTCTACCTATACTAATACTATCTTTCTTGTAAGGTTGAAGTGTCAGACTCTTGCAAAACAGAAAGCGCTTCTTCCCTCCTTCCCTTTTATTCTCTGGCAAACTAGGTAGGGTCCTTTCTGAGATGTTCCCCTGCCCCTTTTTCTTCTGTGCGTAAGATATACCTTTCTCCTGACCTTTGTCTAGGCCAGGGGCAGGCAACCTTGGCTCTTTTATGACTGGTGGACTTCAACTCCCAGAATTCCTGAGCCAGCCACGCTGAGGGGAAAGGGAGAGGTTTCCAAGCTGAGCCATGCCGGCTCAGGAATTCTGGGAGTTGAAGTCCACGAGTCATAAAAGAGCCAAGGTTGCCTACCCCTGAGCTAGCCCAGTAAAATACAGGTAGTCCTTGACTTACAACAGTTCATTTAGTGACTGTTCAAAGTTACAATGGCGTTGAAAAATGTGACTTATGCCCGTTTTTCACACCTATAACTGTTGTAGCATCCCCATGGTCATGTGATCAAAATTTAGCCGCTTGACAACTGACTCATATTTATGATGGTTGCCGTGTCCCGAGGTCATGTGATCCCCTTTTGCAACCTTCTGACAAGCAAAGTCAAGGAGGAAGCCAGATTCACTTAACAGTTAACAACTGTGTGACTAATTTAACAACTGCAGTGTTTCATTTAACAACTGTGCTAAGAAAGATCGTAAAATGGGGCAAACCTCACTTAACAAGCGTCTTGCTTAGCAACAGAAATGTTGGGCTCAATTGCGGTCGTAAGTTGAGGACTACCCATAGAATAAAATAAATGATAAAATAAAAAGACTAGAAAGATAACAGAGACTACTGATGTAGTGATGTAAGCCTGTGTTTCCACATGTTTTCATGTTCCTCTGGTTATTGCATTTTTTAATGTAAAGTTTTCTTAACTTGCTTTTTATCTATTATTCCTATACATTACATTATTTTACATCAGCATTATTTTAAATTTTAATTATTATTTTCTCCCTTTGGGCTGGCCTGCTTGCTGTCTACTGTAATGAAATTTGATTTGAAGAGAACATATTAAGATTTATTTAATTGAACAGATTTTTTGCCCTTTTCTTTCCCTCTCTTCTGTCCCGCAGCTTTAAAGAAACATGCCAAGAAAACGGGTATTAGAAAAAGATGACATTTTAAAAGTGAAACGGACAAAAGGTGAGAGGCCCTGTGCTGGGAATATTGTTCCGATCCAAGCACTCTCAGTGCTTAACCAGCAAAAGTTTTAGTCTTACCATACAGTTCTTGTTTACCAAACCCTTGTTAACTATGATTGATGTCAGCATATTTCTTTGGTCCGGTGTTTTTCATTCTTAGCTGCTTAAAGATGTGTGGACTTCAATTCCCAGAATTCCTCTACCAGCAGGGCTGGCGGGGGAATTCTGGGAGTTGAAGTCCACATATCTTCAGGTGGCCAAATTAAGAAACACTGCAAATTTGGAGTATGATTTTACTTGCTTCAAAGGGTTCTTTTCCTCTGCATGATTGAATGTAGGTAGATTTGACCATTATTGTGGGAATTAGCAGGTCCTTTTTGAAAATTCGTTTTTAATCTCAAAGGCTGTGCTGATCTCATGCTTTGCCCCCAAAATGCTTCTCAACGGGGAGCCACCTCCTTGTCCAAAACAGGTTTAGTACAATGTCCAGAAGTTTGGGATTTCAACCCCCTTCTCTCTTCTTTTAATTTCTCCCTAACTTTGGGTTCAGAAAGTAAAATCTTTGCGGAGGGGACCCATCATTTGTATGTTCTAATTGTGCACTGCCATAACAGATAAACCTTGGTAGGTTAGCCATAGTGCTTGTGTGCATAGAGAGTACACCGTATATCTTGTACAGGTATCCTTGACCTATGACCACCTTGAGCCCAACATTTCCATTGCTAAATGAAGCAGTTGTTAAGTGAGTGCACCTCATCTTATGATCTTTTTTTGCCCCAGTTGTGAAGTGAATCATGCAATCATTAAGCAAACCTGGCTTCCCACATTGACTTTGTCGGAAGCTGACTTTGAAGGTTATAAATCAGGGCTCTTCAAAATTGGCCCTTTTATGACTTGTGGACTTCAACTCCCAGAATTCCTCAGCCAGGCATGCCTGGCTGAGGAATTCTGAGAGTTGAAGTCCACAAGTCATAAAAGGGCCCTCTTCAAAGACCCCTGTTATAAATGGTGATCACATGACCCTAGGACAGTGCAGCTGTCATAAATACATGCCAGTTGCCAAGTGCCCGAATTTTGATCACATGACCACGGGGATGATGGTGCAGTGATCACAAGATCACTTTTTTCTGCTTCAGAAAAGTCACTAAACGAAAGGTTGTAAGTCAAGGACTACCTGCATAGGAGAGGCTCCTTTTGATTTAGGAAACATCTGGTTTAAATATTCTAGTCTGGAATTTTAAGCTCTCAGATTGGATTTTGAAAGTTTGCTTTCTCTTTTATGTCCCTTCCTCCGGCTCTTATCCAGTTAGCCATTCATCACACCAAAGCGAGCCAGGATTGGTGTTGACCCTGGGGCAAGGTGATCTTGGACAGTTGGGCCTTGGACCAGATGTGCTGGCACGGAAGAGACCTGCCCTGCTGCAGCTCCCTGAGAAAATCATCCAAGCTGAGGCAGGAGGGGTTCATACAGTATGTCTGAGCGAAACAGGCAAAGTGAGTCCAGAAATACCTTGGTTTCATATAGAAAGTTGTGCTATGTGCATAGAGTGCTTAAATTATGCTTCCCCCCTAAGACTTTCCTGAACCTAGTATTCTCTTAGAGCAGGGGTCCCCAACCCCCAGTCCGTGGACCGGTACTGGGCCGCATCATGCCAGCAACTGGTCTGCACAAACAAGCAAAGGCAGCACACAAAAGCATACCCCCTCCAGTCCGTGGAAAAACCGCTCTCCACATAACCGGTCTCTGGTGCCCAAAAGGTTGGGGACCTCTGTCCTAAAGGAATAAGCTGCTAAGAAAAATAATTCTAAGATTTTGGGGCCACCACCAAAAAGGCCATCCTAACTTCCTGCAAACACATGGCTTGATCTTAGATTTTTCTGTCTCCATCTCAATGGTAAACCAATTTCAGTTGTCTGGTTTTGAAGTTTGAAATAGATTTGAACTGGCTTAAAGATGGAAGTTGATGCTTCAAATCCCCTCTGTGCAGTTTAGTTTGTTTGTGTCAGAAGCATCACCACTAAAATAAGGCATACTATAAAACATAACATTTAAAATACAAAATAAAAGATTAAACTACATACCAATTAAACAGATCTAGCCCAGAAACTAGCAACACACTTTGTGTTCTGTCACGCTGTCATGAGATTCTCAAGTGTGCCCTGATGAGGACACAAAGGACAGGTATATATATGTGTTGTTGTCTGCATGACACCACAATCTTTACCAAATTGAGTTTGGTAAAGAGCAGGAACACATGGGGGGGGGTGGTCCATTGAATGGAAACCTTGGATTCCTTGCCAGATTTGAACAGTTCTGATGGGTTTTGCCTTAACCCCCCTCTCCCAATGGACAAATAGAAATGCTAGTAATCCCATAACTGCTGCCTATCAGTGAAATTACTTTGAGGTCTTCTCTTCGGGTTGATAGGTTGACTCATAACTGACAGCCTAGAGACGTTCTAGTCCCGGATGTTCGTCTTAATATTACATCGTGACCCATTCTCTTCTTCCAGATCTACACTTTTGGCTGCAATGACGAGGGGGCCTTGGGGAGGGACACTTCAGAGGAAGGGTCTGACGCCGTGCCAGGCTTGGTCGATCTGAAGGAGAAGGTGGTGCAGGTGTCAGCGGGAGACAGTCACACTGCAGCATTGACAGAAGACGGACATGTCTTCATTTGGGGTGCTTTCCGGGTATGTTGTCTGTTTTGCTTGGAGACAAAAGCTGTCATTGTTGGCTTCCTCTTTTGAGTTGCCCACTAGTGCTTTCTCTCACACATTTGCATTTTCTTAGGATGAAAACGGTGTTATTGGTTTACTAGCTCCTCAGAAAGGCGAAGAGAATTCGCAGTCTACCAGTGGCAGCTTGTTCCCAGTAGAACTACAGTTGGATGTCCCAGTTGTTAAAATTGCGTCTGGTGAGTGACACCGGCTACATTCATACTTCTCCCCAAACTAGATTTTTTAAAAGCAAGTTTGCAAAGCAAGCATGTCATGTTGGTCTGTTTCACATGCAGCGTGAAACTCTAATGGGTGGCTTCAGCTAAGTCATCTCACCAGCAAATGTTGACATGGCTTGGTGAATTCATGAACCTAGTCAGTGGCTGATGTTCAGGTCTGTTTGGGTTTACCTTCCATTGAGTAAAGTTTGTGAAAATACAGGATTTTCCCTGTGCTTTGAATTCCGAAAAGCATAGGAATCAACTTTCTAACTCATCATTGCACCTTGACAGAAGAGGGGAAGAAAAGATATTTTTTAAAAATCCATTTTATTTATTAGTGAATACAAAGATAAAAATAGAACAATAGTGGTAGTATTAGTATTGTAGTTAGAAAAAAGGTAATCATAAATATAGTCATTAAAATCATCTTTAAAAAGGACCATGTAAAACCAGTCCAATCTTTTAACATATTATTAAGTCTAGATTATGTAAAACTATACTGTTCCAACCTCTCATTTTTACAGTAAAATAACCTCTTCAAAAAGCGATAGAAAACTTCTGAAGTATAGCTTTCTTCCAGTCCAGATTCCATATTTATATAGAACGTTGGGAAAATTCTTGAGCCACCCATGAAGCAGCTTGTCCTCTTTTTAGGGAGCCATCATTTGGCTTTAGTGTCCAGTACTGGCAACCTTTATACCTGTGGATGTGGAGACAATGGTCAGCTGGGGCGTGTGCCTCAAATTTTTGTGGTCCGAGGAGGAAGACGGGGCTTGGGTGAGTTCAGCATTTAACTTAATTTTAATTTAATTTCTCTTATACAGTGTTTGATTCAGCAGCTGTTTATTTCATTGGATGGACCAGTTTTATCTATTGAATTTGTCCTGTTTGTTGCATTTTTTTTGGCATAGATAGAGATAGATAAATTATCTATCTATCTATCTATCTATCTATCTATCTATCTATCTATCTATCTATCTATCTATCTATCTATCTATCATGCTGTATGTTACACCCTGTTGACCCAAATATGGGAGAGAGAAATCTTTTGCCTTGTATCAGCTCAAACTAGAGCCATCCACAGGCAGCAGTCACAACTGTGACATCATATACATTGATACAAGGCAAAAGATTTCTCTCTCCCATATTTGGGTCAACAGGGTGTAACATACAGCATTCTAGATAACTCCTCCCCTGTTTCTTCCCTCCCTAACACAGCTGGCAAAAGTGAGAAAGAGCCTGTGGCCTAGAGGTTTAATACAGCTGCCTAACATGCAGACAGCCCAGGTTCGAATGTCAGAAGGGTATGTCTGGTTGAAAAGAACTAAAGAGTTCGAAATAGCTATTCCAGTTCTCCCTTAATTCTTTGCTGGCAATCCAAATTATTTATATATATATATATATATATATATATATATATATATATATATATATATAGATAGATAGATAGATAGATAGATAGATAGATAGATAGATAGATAGATAGAGAGAGAGAGAGAGAGGGGGGGGGGACAGAGACAGACAGAGAGATATGATATAGAGATGATATAGAGATTGATTGATTGATTGATTTGTTAGCTATGCAAGTGGCATCTAAGCACCAGATAGTCAGACCTCCATCCTTAATTAAATATAATGCATGAATATTGACCCGATTCTTCCTAAACATCTTTCCTCTCTTCCTCCAGAGCGGCTGTTGCTCCCCCAAGTGGTCACCATAAAGCAGAGAGGCTGCAAGACCAAAGGCAACATCAGGGATGTCTTCTGTGGCTCTTACTCCACCATTGCCATCACGCAGGAGGGACATGTGGTTGGGTTTGGCCTCTCCAATTATTATCAGTTGGGTGAGTTGATGTTTATCAAAGGCTTGGGATATACCCAGTGCCGTCATGGTAAGATGGACTGGTCTCGAAAGACCTTATGATCCCAAATCAGGGGAGGCTTTCTCTAGCCTAGAGATATGCTAGCTTTGCTTCTTATTTTGAACTGCTCCAATCTTCAGGGATCTTGTTATGATCCCCCAAACTGTGAGGTGAGCCTGGTTGTCATTCAGGTTGATGGGATTCAGGAGGTGTCCAAAATACTCCTGGTGAGACAAAGAGATCCTTGAGGACCTTATGATCCTAAATAATTCAGGAGAAGAAGTTGGTTTTCCTCCACCTGGTGAAGACTAGGGAAACAAATGATAGTATTGTTTATGAAATTTGTGGTGAAAATTGCTTTTTGTGGTAACCATAATGTTGATGTGCAGTGCTAGGCCCAGAGGGGGAAAGAAGTGCTTTGTTCCTCCTCCGACAAACATCTTAGGTTAGGACTAGTTCTACATGCTTGTGGCTGATATGTAGTTTCCAGTCATTTGTAGCAAAATGGGCTTAAAATGGTAATGGGCTGCTGTTAATGCATTAATCTCCATCAATCTCTATCCCTGCAGGTTCCCAAGAAATTGCCACTTATTATTCTCCAAAAATTCTGACAGCATTTAAGAATTCCACCCGATCGTGGGTTGGATTCTCTGGTGGGCAGCATCACACTGTTTGTCTGGATTCAGAAGGTGGGTCACCTGGAAGTGTAGACTCATGGGAAGCAGTTGTTCTCTGCTCTGCCCTAGTCAGGCACTACCTAGAATAATAATAACCCTTAGATTTATATGCCAATCCATAGTGCTTTACAGCACTCTGAGCGATTTACAATATCAGCCTATTGCCCCAACAATCTGGGTCCTCCTTTTATCAACCTTAGAAGGATGGAAAGCTGAGTCAACCTTGAGCCCCATCAGGATCGAACTCCAAACTGTGGGCAGAGTTGATTTCTTTGGGTTGGGTTGATTTCTTTCTTTGCATTAACCTCTGTTCAATTGGGGGTTGAAGGGATCCTATTTACAAATCCTGATGCAGCCGTTGCTGGTCATGTAGTCTTTGAAGACTTTGTATCATGGAGACTTCTGTATCCTTTTGTGGTTGGGTTTATTGGGGTTCCTCTTAATAGAACATCTTCTCTGTCTCTTTTTATTGGTTCCCATCTTCAAACAGGCACTGTGTATAGTCTTGGACGTGCAGACTATGGTATGTTGGGCCTAGGAAAAGGTGTTGGCGAGAAGAACTCTCCCACCGCTGTCCCTGGTTTGCCCAAATCAACTTCGGTGGCCTGTGGAGAACGAGTTGGCTTTTCCGTGACAGAAGATGGTGAGCCTGAGCAAATATGGACAATTGGGTGTTGGTCCTGCAGTTTGCACAATTTTTTTTGTTTACTTTCAACTCACTGCAATAATACTTGATTTATTTTTAAGGACTTCAATTGCATCCTGCTTTTTCTGAAAGGGGACAGTTGCTAAGTGTAAAATTGTGACTGCGATGGGACTTATGACTTCACTTCCCACTTTACTGTCAAATGAAAGATCTCATAACTGCAGTTTAACAGTTTTACTTCCATCTTCTCTATTGCAAGGTGGTTTTGAAGCGTCTGAATGGTTATCACATGACCGCAGGATGCTGTGATAGTTGTAAATGTGCCCAAATGGCAATCACATGACTAGGGAACACTGCAACTGTTGTAAAATTCAAGGATTGGTGCTTCAACCCCATTGTAACTTCAAATGGTTGCTAAGCAAGGACTAAGGACTATGGATATGTTGATCCAAGAAAGGGTGAGTGACCCAAAGTTGCTCCATGGCTAAGGTTGGATTGAACCCAGGTCTCCTTATTCCTAGTCCAACATCTTCCCCTCTATTTCTCATATACATATATATATATATATATATATATATATATATATATATATATATACACACACATATACATATACATATACATACATACATACATACATACATATGTAGGTCTTTGGTTATTCGGGTTTTCTCCCGCGTAAAATTGGAAGTGTCTTGGCGACGTTTCGATGAAGTCCCATTCGTCATCTTCAGGCTGGTGTTTTCAGCTTCGTGCTCCTCGAAGCATGAAGCTGAAAACACCAGCCTGAAGATGACGAATGGGACTTCGTCGAAACGTCGCCAAGACACTTTCCAATTTTACACGGGAGAAAACTCGAATAACGAAAGACCTACATACAAATACCCGCGAAAACCTCAGAAAACACACACACACACACACACACACACACACATATATATATTTATTTGTTTTCTGAGGTTTTCGCGGGTGTTTGTATGTAGGTCTTTCGTTATTCACGTTTTCTCCCAGCCAACCCCCCATCCAATCAGAGCACAGCCAAGCTTCTAACCAATCAGAACACACCTCCATCCAATCAGAACACAGCCAAGCTCTCATCCAATCAGTTCATACTCCCACTGGCAGTTAAAAGGAAGAAACAGCTACGATCACACATTGCTCCTAGAAGCACAAAGCTGAAAACACCAGCCTGAAAATGACGAATGGGACTTCGTTGAAATGTCGCCAAGACACTTCCAATTTGACGCGGGAGAAAACCCGAATAACCAAAGACCTACACACGCACACGCATATAGGAATCACCCAAGACAATCAGCTGTTGCATGTCTTAGAATGGCTGCTTGCTGTTTTTGATCTTCATGCTCTACTTCTCTGTAGGTCATGCCTTTGCTTGGGGCATGGGATCAAACCTTCAGCTGGCCACAGGAGATGAAGAGGACGTCTGGAGCCCTGTTCAGATGTCCGGCCAGCAGCTGGAGAACCGCAGCGTTCTGTCCGTGACGGCCGGAGGGCAGCACACTGTCTTACTTGTCAAGGACCAGCAGAGCTGACAGTCTGTTCCTGCAGTCCCACCAGGAACCCTCCAGGGGGCGCTCCCTATCTGAATCTTTTGGAGCCAGGTTTTGAAGACTGCCCTTTAGTGGGGAAAGGAAAAAAAATTTTTTTCAAAGTTTCTTTGGAAAAGAAAATGAGCTGAGATAAAAATACTCTTCTGAATGCTGGAATTTGTTGAAATCCAAAGCAGGTTATCTTGTGGTATCAAAATCGGGAATGGAGACAAGCCTTCCCATCTTTAAAAAAGGAAAAAAAAATCAATGTCTGCAACTCTATTTACTACCATTTTTGCTTTTGCTAGGCTATTTTCCATGCTTTTATCGATCTTTGAAAAACTTGGGATTTTCCCCAGTTCTGTTCACCACTCGGTGTGGGACTTCACCTTGGTTACATTCTTAGCTATTTATTCTTCCCTTTTAAAATTTTTTATCCCTTGCAATGCTTGCATTCCCTGTTAGGAAGTGTGGTCTCTTCAGTTTAAGTGCAGTAAAGTCTGCTGCTTTTTTTCAGCGCATGTCCTCTTCTGTCTAAAGCAGCAAAGCAAATTGGGATGACTCCAAGAGCCGTTTAATTCAGGGGGTGAGTTTCTCTTACTGAGGTATCTTCTTCAAGATTCAAGGTTATGTAGGCAGACTACTGCCTTTCTCACCTCTAGCCAGTACATTCCAGGGACAAACTGCTTCAGAGGGATGAACAGTGTAGATAAGCACATCTTCCAAGTTGGATGCTTTAGCGAAAGGATCCAAATTGGTTCTACTTGCCCTTATTTCCAGGAAACAGTGTCTTTATCCTAGTAGGAAATGTGAATTCCTCAATCCTCAATGGTTGGAGGAACACGGTTCTTAAGTGGAGAGTGGGTAAAAGGTCTCTCCTTTTGGAGAAATTGTTGGGGTTTTCCTTATGGGACTTTTAATGCAGCTCTCACTGATGCAGCTGCTAATCTCCAGAACAATTAAGCCTGAACAGAGACTTAACAATGACACAGCACTGCTTGGGACATCCACAAATCCTGTTTTTCATATTTAAAGTGGCATCTCTGGTTATTTTTTTCCTGGAAAATTTAGGCCCTTGAATTTAGGAGACCAGCTCCAAGTTCTCTCAGGTGTTCCTTCATTAGTTGTCTTGCATGAATAGCAGAGTGATTTTTCCAATATTTCCACGTGGGGCCATGCTTGTAAACCATATTTTCAATTTAGTTTGGCAGAGAATTATCAATTTAGTTTGATAATTGCTTGTTCAAAGGAGCTGCTTGTCAATTGATCCTCAACAAAGATGAAGGAGCAAAACCAGCCAAAGAAAAGCCATGTTTAGATCATGGAATGTAAGCCAGACTGAGATGGAGACATTTTGCCATGACCTTTGAAATGCCAGCCATGTTCTGTCATCTCCCACAGCCGAAATTTCTGCAATTCTAGAAAACAGTGCATTTTTAAAATACGGAGTTCCTGCGGCCTCAGGAAACCAGGGGAGGGAAAATTTGGAGAGATAAAGAAAGCAATATATATATATATATCTTTGGTAGCATTTGCCAAGGAGACACAACAAATCTGTGAAATCCTAACATTTGAAATAAATTTGAGTTTTGATAGTGCTGTGTTTGTGTGTTATATAGGGCAGTTGAAAGCACATTGCCTAAAATAAAAGTAAGGGAACCCATCATCCTGAAGATACTGCACTACAGGTTCCATCATCTGACTTGGCTTATGCTGGTTTAGGCTGGAGGATGTTTTGAGTACAGAAACCTCAGGAGGACCTCAGTTTTCTCATCCCTTCTGTTGGGAATTCTATTTTTTTTTTTTTTTTGTAGCTGAAAGTGCAGCAAGAATGCATTCAAAAAAAAATGGGACAACTCAATCAACAATGCTGCAAAAATCATCTATTTTTCTTTGTGTGTACCAGCACCTTTGAGTCAGTACTGCCTGCCTTGACAAATCCCTGCAGTTTGCTTGGCAAGATTTCAGAAGTGGTTTGCCATTGCCTCCTTCCCAGGGCTGAGAGGAAGTGATTGGCCCAAGATCACCCAGTTGGCTTCATGTGTTGGGTAGGAATAGAATCCATGATCTGATTTCTAATATGCTTTAACCACTACACCAAGCTGTGTTTTTTGTATTTTTTTCTCCCGGTTCTTAATTTGATAAGAGATAACCTTTTATTGTTATTTTTTACTGTGGGCACACACACATCAAAAATGAAATTTAGTTGCCCGCTCTCAAAATGAACACATTTCACTTCACCAGTGTCTCGCTGTTGAGCAACCAAGGCAGCCTACTCGTTAACTGCACACCCAGGAATTTGATGCTGGTAACCATCTCCACAGGTGAATCATTAATGCACAGAGAAGTGTGGCTGTGCCTGCCTTTTCTGAAATCGACAATGATCTCTTTGGTTTTTCCGGTATTTAAAACTAGCCTGTTTTCCTTACACCAGTTCACCAAACCCTCAACCTCCTTGTGGTAAGCACCCTCATCATGAATAAGGCCCACTACTGTTGTATCATCTGCGAACTTCACGATATGGTTGGTGGCAAATCTAGCACAACAGTCATGGGTCAATAGGGTGAACAGCAGCGGACTTAGGACGCAGCCCTGAGGAGAACCTGTGCTCAAGAAAATGGTATTAGAAGTATTTTATTGATGAATTTGCTTGCAGAATGCTATGTGAGAACAAAATTACAGAAAAAAATTGCTAGATGAGTGGGCCTAGGTTGCATATGTAGGTCATCTCTGTAGCCTCCTCGTCTTCCTAGCTCCATTAAATCCCAAAGGAAGGCATCAGGTGAGGCCTGTTAGGGAAGCATTTCTGATGGTTGGGAGGCTGAGTAGCAGAGTGAAGGCTGGATATGCGAGAGGAAACCACTACAAGCAATAGTGTGTCCTATCTCCAGCATTAAGAAAAGCTTAAAAACAGAAATTCAAAAGACATTCAGGTGAGCTGAGAATACTGTAATGTAGAACTTTAAAAGCTTCTCTGGCAGGGGAAAAATGGCAAAATTGAATTAGGAATGGAGAAAACAGCTGTCTCCAAATAAAGCTGTATAAAAAGCAGGTGAATCTAACTATCATGGGATGCAAATGTTCTAGTTCTAAAAACTACTCACTAGATGGCAGCAAAAAGCAGATAATAAACATTTTAGCAATTTTAGGCAAAAAATAACATGTAAAAAGGATGATGTTGCAGAGAGATCAATAGAAATGCTAATGTAAATCACTGGGCAGAAATACAAGTTTTTGACTTTTCATAAGCCTGATGCAAACACTACAGATGGAGATTTTATGGAAGGTGGCTTTCATTGATACGTTTTTCAAACTTGGCAACTTTTAAGATCTGTGGACTTCATCTCCCACAATTCCCTAGCCAGTGTGAATTCTAGGAGTTGAAGTCCACACTTGCCTTTCCGGTGATGATAGGATGCCAGTGCTATACTCTTAATCCAGAGGTGTCCAATCTTGGTGACTTTTAAGTCTTGTGGACTTCACCTCCCAGAATTCCCCAGCCAGCATGGCTGCCTGGGGAATCCTGGAAGTTGAAGTCCAGGAGTCTTAAAAGTTGCCAAGGTTGGACACCCCTGCCCTAACCCCTAAGAAATAATTTAACAAAATAATCCTAGCCATAAAAAGAATACGGTCTTTGTTATACAGGAGCTTTTCTAGAGCTATAAAGAAAATTTAAAGCAAGCCTTGAAGGTGATGGTATTCACTGACTACTTATCCATTATCTCTGTGCAAAAGACTATGGCATAAAAACAAGACTTTCAATTGACGTGAATTGTCTAGTCTAGGCAGTTGATCTATCAAGTCAAGTGCTCCAAAGGGGTTTTGTCAATTGCAGGAAGAACGCCTTGACTTTGATCCTTTATTGGTGGAGCTTGGTTTAAAGCTTTTAAACTAATAAGATGTTAGCAACCAATTGTCTCCTTTAGAGCTAGCAAGGTTGAGGTCCCTTCTGCCTCTTTCATTTAGTGAAAGCATCAGTGCCTGTTGAATTGTCCTCCCAATTACAGGAGTGCATGACCTCCACACCTTGGCTGACGATGAAAGTCTGAAGTGTCCTCAAGAAACAGCCTACTTACATAGTTTCCGTGCTGTAGCTGCACTTCAGCTGATCATCTCGGCAGGACATGCTGCCTGGCACTGATGTGCAAAGGAGAAGTAATAAGAAAGAAGAGCCTTTGCCATTCCAAGCCTCAAGAGCTTGCTTCCCTATTGTCTGCCTGTTTTAATTTTACTACAGTGGTAAGAAGTCAAAATCCCTGGCTGCCTTACTCTGCTGGGGAGGACTGGTAAACATAGGAGAGAATGTTAAAAGGGAGGGGGTGGGGTTGGGGAAGAAGGAATTGAGGAATTTGGGAGTTGAAGTCCACAAGTCATAAAGTTGCCAAGGTTGGGGACCCCTGGTACAGAATAGCAGACCCCCTTGCCTTTAAAGATGCCAGCCATGGCTGTTGTCAAAACATCAGCCAATCTGTGTCAGAGTTTCATCTGTCGGAACCATGACAATCTGTTGTCTAGGGCAGGGATAGGCAACCTTGACTCTTTTATGACTCGTGGACTTCCAGAATTGCTGGCCCAGGAAGTCTGGGAGTTGAAGTCCACGACTCATAAAAGAGCCAAGGTTGCCTACCCCTGGTCTAGGGATATCCAAAATTGGCAACTTTAAGACATGCAGACAAATGCTGACTGAGGAATTCTGGCAGTTGAAGTCCACAAGTCTTAAAGTTATCTAATTTGGAGACCCCCTGCTCTAGACCATAGTCACTAAACCCTGAAGCCCAACAGCCCTACAGATAATGGCTATGAAAGCCCACACCAATAGCAACTAGTGACTGGTTGACTCTCTGTTCCAAAGTTCTTCCCAAGTTTCTGTCAAGGGCCTCATCCTGATCCAGAGGCAGAGGTCCATTGAAAGGATGAAGGGCAGTTGTTCTTGGGCAACAGCTGTGTTACAGATTGTAAAAGCTAATTTATTGCCTGTGTGAGTGGGTCGCTCAGTCACCAGTCAGTTACCAGTTGGAACATTCTTATCTCATGGCTTCCAACAAAAGTGTTGCAAGGCATGATCGTTATAAGCTTGTCACCTCACGTTTGGACTACTGCAATGCGCTCTACATGGGGCTATCCTTGAAAAGTATTCGGAGACTACAGTTGGTCCAGAATGCAGCCGCGCGAGTGTTAGCGGGTGTTCCTCGGTACATCCACGTTACACCTATCCTCCGCGAGCTGCACTGGTTGCCTATTGGTCTCCGGGTCCAATTCAAGGTGCTGGTTATTACCTTTAAAGCTCTATATGGCTCAGGGCCAGGCTATTTGTGAGACCGCCTACTACCTCATAGTTCCCTTCGTTCGGTTAGATCCCACAGGTTGGGCCTCCCTCAGGTCCCGTCGGCCAAGCAGTGCCATTTGGTGGGGCCGTGGGGAAGGGCTTTCTCTGTGATGGCGCCCACGTCTTGGAACGAACTCCCCCCAGAGATTAGGACCGCTTCCACCCTGCTGGTTTTCCGCAAGCTGCTTAAGACCTGGCTTTTCCGGCAGGCCTGGGGTTTATAAAATCTGATCCCTGGATGAATGTTACTGTATTGTTTGTCTTGTTAAGTTATATTGTGTTTTTATTGTTAGCCGCCCGGAGTCCTGCGGGAGTGGGGCGGTTTATAAATTTTAATAAATAAATAAATAAATAAGCTGAGCAGCTGATCCACTGGGGTAAAAAAATCAAAGGGAAGCATTGCATTCTTATACATGCATGCTGTTCCTTGGTGTTCTTGCAGCAAAACACTCAACTTATACTGGAATTAAAGGGAGGCTGATTAGCATAAGCAAAGCTTGCAAGAGCTTAGAGAAGCTTATATATGGTTTTGATAGCTATGCTTCTGAAAAAAAATCAATAGCTTTGTTGCCATTCTTCAGTTCCATTTTGAGAAACTGAACTTGGTAGGATCAATATACGTGGGCTTTAGAATGTGCAAGCATTTAATTCCAGTGTGAATAAACAGAGCATCTAGGTATCTCTTCAGTGATTGTGCGCCCCTTGTTTCTTAGTTCTTAAAACTAGACAATAATTATTCCCACAATTTGCATAACTAAGTCAGTTCCAACTGAGCAGCTGCATTTGCCCAAAACATAGGGAAAGTTTGGTTAGTTTTTCTGTGGTTAAACTAAAATGTGAACCCACGGCACTTCTTTTTAGGGCTTGGTGTATTGTTCAAACCCAGAAAAAAAATTCATCACCAAGGTGAATGCAGCCAAAGTATTAAAGTAGGATGTCTATGGAGATTCTCAGTCATCCCTGTCATGGTTTTCCCAAAGGTGCTTTTTCAAGAGGCAACTGGACTTTCTTGTTTTTCTTTGAAGATGTTTCGCTTCTCACCCAAGAAGCTTTTTCAGCTCTGTCAGAGTAGGAGTTTCCAAACTAAGCAATTTTAAGACTTCTGGACTTCAACTCTCAGAATTTTCCATCTAAATCAAGGGTCAAACTTGCCATGTCACATGATGTGTGGTGACATATCGTGACTTTTTCCGTTGCCGGCAATGGGGTGGGTGTGGTTTCACCATGACACATCTGGCCCATGGGCCGGCAGTTTGACACCCCTGATCTAAAT